TGACTACTATTTCTCCCATAGTCTCAGTGACCCCTTTAGCAATTTACTAGGTCTATATCACAACTCCTTAGCTATACCAATTCTTCTCTTCGGCATCCATTTTGTTTAGAATGCCTAATAGCATACTATCAATTACAAACCACTGGACACATAGTCCAGACAATAAAAAGGTATAGGGGGAAATGTTTCAAACACAATTTTTGACTACATAACTTCGTTTGGACTAGTTAGGAGGTGAACATATCAAAAGTCCCCGCGCCTTTGAGTCGGAAAGGAGAGAGGGTCTGAAGGTTCCATTTTTCTGATTTTCGCTTATATCTCGGAAACTATGCGTCCTAGCGACATGACCAACTTTGTTTGTTCTAGTCAGCTGTCTGTTGATCATGGAGGTATAATACTAATGGAGATGCCATGAGGCAATTGTTTTGAATATGATACGTTTTATTAAAAATGACCCCACTGGGCGTGGCTTAAATGGTTGACTAAGCAGGGTCGTATTCAAATATAATTAAAGTCCGTATGCAGAATTACAACTTTTAAATGACTTACTTACCTAGGATTTGTTTCAACATGATCGATTCGAAATTAATTTGATGACATTGCGCAATTATGACTTCTACACTATTTACTATTATTTATTAACCGTTTTCCGACCAAGCCAATGCCACGACCATAAAAGAGATTAATATTATTATATTGTTCTGTCTTCGCCGAAACCGTCCGATATATGACCTTTGTGATCGAAAATCAACGTTCGAATAACACTGTGCATCAAATTTGTTAATCTCTTTGTACTAAAACCCGAACTACGATTTTTCGTTCAAGGACTCTCTTGTCTTGATCAAAGCTGCCAATGTCAAAATCTGACAATGAGGAGAATTATGACATCAAATTACCAAACCAAAAACCAAACCACTACGTGAATTGTGAATAAATATATTTCAGTAAAAATACAGCCGAGTTTGTAGGTCAATTAATTACTTTTAAATGTAAAACATGTAGGTCTTTCAGCTGCAGATGACATACATTAAAAATATGACCCGCTACAGTCAAAAGTTTAAAAAGACCAAAAATTCAGCTAGGTATGACTTTATGGTTAAAAGTAGATGGAAGAAAACCATGATCAAAACTATTCTGTCAAAACCAATCGGAACTAAAAAGACTCAGTTAATAGTTGTTGGTTTTATTTATGTTTGAAATAATTAATTATATATCGTAGGTACATATATTACTAAAATTGTAAGCAAGTACTTACTAAAGATTTCTATAATTGGTACATATGTATAATAAACAACAATCTCACAGATGCACAGCCTACAACTATACAAATGGAATTATAGAGATAATCTATTTTAAAAATAGGCATTCAGTTGCGATTTGTGATTACAAAAAGAAAACTTTAACCAATTTTTCTGATCAGTAATGTTATTTTATATCATGAGGATGAGGAGGTACATAGAGGTGAGTGATGGCCACAAATCTAATTAAATAATAAAAATACATCACCAGTATTTATTATTATACAGTATATTCATTATCAAAACGGTATAATAATAGGAAATTAGGATCTAATAAAAACTGCTTTTAAATACTTGAAATTTTATTCTAAATTATGTGTTACTTAAAAAGTTAGTCATTTAAGTTGGTTTTTAAGTTTAATTATAAAGTTAGTTATTTAAGTTTTATTATAATTATCTAAGTTTTAATATAGTTATTTGTCTTTATTATAAAGTTAGTCAAGCCAATGTTCTTTATTAAGTTAGTTATTTAAGTTTTATTGTAAATAAAGTGTATACTAACTAAACATTCATTTATTGTCGGAACAGCATTCTTCTTCAATCTGACCCTAAACTCACTCTTATCAATAAATTCTTCCTTGAAGTGAATAGAGCACAACATGCTATTCGGTTTAGGCTCAAATTGGTCTTTTCTCACAAATTTAGACCAAATTTTGAGATATTGTGGGTCTTTTGGAAACCTATAATAAAAAAAAGTTAAGCATTCTAAAAAAAATTCTAAGTACACTTACTTATGAAAACTTAAATTAGATATTTTCTTACGCTCTTTCACTGAAGAGTTTTTACAATTAATTTTGGCACACTTAGTCATGATTTTTATACAAATTAATAAAAAAAACACTTATTAAGATAGAAATAACGTCGAAATATTTAAATTTGAACAAAGTTCTGACAGCTCTTTGACAACTATGACATGACCACTAAGAGAGGGGGAAGGGGTGTCGTTTTTTTTTTGGCATGTTATCTTTAACAAAACAGCTGTTATATTGGTTGTACGTGTTTTGTTTATTCAGGATCTAAACTTTTGGCGTTTTCGATTCCAATGCTCGGCTTGCACTGAGTGCATACTTAAGGTTACTTTTCACTCTGAAAAGTGGAATCGAAAACTGTTGTTGTTTGAGGTTATAAAGTGTGTTATACATTATACAATGGTGCGTAATGTTAAAGCAATTACAGTGTTTGGTGTCACATTTAACGATGCGAGTGTTGTGTCATCAAAATGAGCAGCTATTGTTTTGTTTGTGATGAATAAGTGACTGCATCGAGTCTTGATATTTCTAAAGTGGATAAAAAAGGGATAGTTTCTTTCAAAAATGCTAGTCAAGAGAGGGGTGACGACAAAATCAGCCAACTAGCTAATGTGACTTCATTTCTCGTCCACACGTTGTGTAGAAAAAATTACATGAGCACCCAGTCGATTATGACTTTCAAAAAACAAGAGGCATCAACATCTACTCAAACTGAAACATTGGTGCTGCGATCCTCATTACCCAAGTTTGACTTCAAAAATTGTTTAATTTGTGGAGAGTTAATTTAAAATGAAACTAAGAAGAGTCAAGACAAAAAAAGGTGCATCCAGGCCGCACTCTTGATTTCCATAACGTCTGTATGTATGCAGCCACCGTAAGAAATAACAGTTGGGGTGAAGAAATGATCCTTCGCCTTGCTAGTGTTAATGACCTCGTTGTAGAAGGGAGAGTTTATCATAATGACTCTCATTTGAAATTCATCAAGCCCTTATATGCTCATAAGAAATCAGAAAGTTCCTCATCCGAATACGTATAAAAGCTATGGATGATATTTATGCCTTCATTGATAACAGTACAGACTGCCAGTTCTCACAGACTGAAATTCTCGACGCAATTACTGTGGAAAAACCTGCATGGAAAACTATAAAAGCACATCTTTGTTCTAACAGGTTTTAACAGATTTGATGTTCCTGTGCTATGTTTCATGGGGTCCCTCAAGTTGACTCCGAAGGTGAAGAAGAACAGGAGGAATCTATGTACCGTTTCCCAACAGGTGTCCGATGGTGAAGATATTGGAGATAAAGAAGATGAAAACGAAGATGAGAATGAAGGTCCTTTCCACCCCAAGAGAGCAAAAAATTGACTTAATGTTACATACTGTTGTAATGTTTTATGTTAATTCACTTTTCTATGTCAATAAACGTTGTTTTCAGTTAATGGTTGTGATTTATAAAACCATCCCACTGTCTTAAAGACATTCATATATGCAGAAACATGATCATAGCAACATATTTTCCCATTTAAATGGTCTAGATATTATTTAATTAAGTGTGAGGAACCTGGTCAGAGGGCCCACTACTCACTATAAGTACATAATGGTGCATATTCCGGGCAATACGTTGACTGGGAATGGTGAGAAATTAAAAGATTCATTAGTCGACAGTTGTCGCAAAACTTCAGATTTCACGCTCAATGTTGAAAGAAGGAAAAATAGTTAAAATAGTAAAGTAAATATTATTGAATGGACTTTAATTCTCTACTACCCTATGGTCGGCATTTATTTTTTGGGTTCATCGTTAAAGAGTTATTCGGTCAAAAAGAGCAAAATATGCGAGGCAAAAATGTTTTTTTCCAAAATTACAGACTTTTAAGAACTGATATATCGAAAACTATACTTGATCGAGTAAAACTTGTAGCAAATTTAATAAGCTTTCAATTTATATTGAGTGGTCATGTCGCTAAAACGCATAATTTCCGAAATATAACCGAAAAATTGGACTTTCAGACCCCCTTCCCCCTCCCCCCCGCGGCTCAAAGGCTACAGGCGGGACTTTTGATATGTTCAACTCCTAACTAGTCCAAACAAAGTTACGAAGTCAAAAATTGTGTTCCATGCATTTCCCTCTATACCTTTTTTTGAGTATTCGTCGCTTGAATTAACAATATTTCACGGAAAAACGAATGAGATATGGACATTAAATAAAACAATAAACAAATTATCAACATCATAGCCCATTATAGGTCAGGCCGGAAATTATTCATCCCATCCTTGTAGAATAGTTTCGAGATACTATTGCGATACGCCAGGTGTCCCCTCCAATTCTTTTTCGAACCTGGAGCAGTGTTTCCCACTCGTGACACATTGTGGATGGAGTTGTCGCAATATTTCCCGAAACTACTCTATACAATTTCGTTTTTGTCCATTTTATTATAAAAATAGGACAGTTTTACCTAAAAAATAAGTATTATATGTATTAGAATATATTTAATTTTTTTGTAGCATTGTACAATTATACGTTTTTTTTTATATACAGAATGTTTGTAAATAAGTGCGGAATATTTTAGAAAGTGGGATGTAGAGTTTTTTTATTTATTTTTATTAATTATTTCAAAGAGTTTTAAAGATATTGACTCTAAATTTGCAAAACGCTTTGGAGGGATAAATGTGCGTTTTTTTGGGGTTGTCCGAATATTTCTACTTGCGCCAGTGGCATTCGTGCAAGAATGTCACAACTTTTAATACAAAAATGGTGCGCCACTGACTTTTTCACGTCGAATTTTTTAACAAAATAACTTCGGCAACCACCCTCTAAAATCTTTCTCACTTATTTAAAAACGCTCTGTATACCTACCCTATAATTATATATTTTTCGTAAAAACGTACTAGTTAATTCATGTTTCTTTTATTTTTTTTTTTTAATTAAAGTCACTTATAATATATCACTTGTTTCAGAACCCGGGACGGCCCCTAGAAATGTTCAAGTGCGACCATTGAGCTCCAGCACCATGGTGATACAATGGGACGAACCCGAAACTCCCAATGGCCAAGTTACAGTAAGCAAAATAATAGTTTCTATTTAATTGTCATACAGTCACAGCTAGGTGGATAATAATTATTTAATAGTAATACACTTTACTTGCTGCTAATGCGGCAAGTAAAATGTTTGATTTTTACTGTAAGATAAAGTGTCAATTGTATTAGCATAGCGATTGAGAGTTGGCGATAAAATATTTTACATCTGTTTCATCTCCTTTTTTTAATAATGTTTGTAGAAATAAATCATCCTGTATTAAAATTACGAAGTGAATATATATTTGTGATAAAAAAATTATGTTGTAGGGTTATAAAGTATACTACACGACGAACGCACAACAACCTATGGCTCAATGGGAATCCCAAGTCGTAGATAACAATCAGTTAACAACAATCAGTGAGCTCACGCCTCACACTATTTATACTATTCGCGTTCAGGCTTATACTTCCGTTGGTCCTGGACCACTGAGCGCCCCAGTTCATGTAAAAACTCAACAAGGTTAGTACTTATAGTTGCAAAATAGTTATTTCTGCACCAAGAGCTTAAAATTCCACTTAATGCCCTAAGCTAGAATTGTAAATTAATTTTATGGCAGCGTCTAAACACACACAACCAAACTAGTATTTTAACAGAAAAAAGGCATTTATGATAAAAATGTCGTTAGGTACCAGAATATAGTTTATTTCAACATATTTTATTGCAAAAAATTATTTGTTCTTGTCCATCGCGACCTTTTCATATCTATGTGGGACTCCGTTATTCAGAGTATGTGGCCTAGCTTTGGTATAGCTTTGACATTGGCTCTCACATGTAGTTACATGCTTCTGCCTTTTCTTTACTTAGTAATAGATACCTCAATAGGACTAATAAAAAAATTTAGAGTACTTAAAAAAATGTTTTTGGGTAAATATGATTATTAAATCAATGAATTGAATAATTGTAGATATCGTATATACACAAAAGTCCCGTAAAAATACTGCGTTTCACATTAATACTTATAAAAAAATATATTGGCCTATGTCGATATTTACGAATCACCCTGTATAAATGGCACGTAATATCTTTTGTAATATTATCAAACCTAATAAATATAGCAATAATTTATTTTTTGGTAAATATTTTCCCATTCTAGAACAATAAAAGTATTTATCAAAAACATGTCCTTACTTATTTGTGGCCACCTGTAAAGGAAAATAATTTTTGGTCCCTTTTTATATCCCTAGAATGCCAAAAAATGTTACAATAAGATTTTGCACAAAAAAATATAATCGATTAGCTTTTTCTTGAAATAACCGTTATCAAATAAGTGGTATTTCTTAAGTTTAACACCCTGTATCTCAAAAACCAGTTATAGGATTTAAATGGTCCCAAAAACACTATTGCTTAAGAGGTCGAAAACTGCAACATATCAAAAATTCATGACATTTAACAGGTCGCCACTTATCCATAAGCGGTGTGCGGGGTAATTTTGAAAAAAATCTAGCCAACATTTACACTGGTGACTCATTTTCAACCTTAACTTGACCTAATCTGGTACAGGACGTGGATTAGTGTTTCCTCTTCTTCTTCTTTTTCTTCTTCACAGGACCAGCACAGTATTGCTTCTTCTGCTGGATTAATGAAACTTATGTGGCTTCTTAGGCAATAGGATGCAGTAAAAGTACTGTTATCCTAACGATTTGTCGTTTTTGATCCAACTTGGCCGATGGTTTCTTAATGAACTCTTTTGCCTGTCTTAATCCTGGATAGTTGTTTTACCATTAATAATAATACTAATTCACCCCTTTACGAGTGAATTTGAACCCTTGACGCCGACTGAGCGACTTGTGTAAGGGAAGGAACGGCTATTATTCTTTTTTTTGCCGTGGCGGTAAGGGGTGACTTAAAGATGATTGATGGTGCATGCCATTTGACTTACAGGCGAGGAAACCCCAACCCACCATTATGATACTCTTATTGCATCCATTTTTTGAAAAGTGCCTTGCACAATACCTTAGCAACTTTACAGAAAGAATCGGGGCCCGTTGCCTTATCTTAGCCCTCTCTGGCTAGTTCGTCGGCTTTTTCATTGCCCTGCTATCCTTCATGGCCTGGTACTCAGGCTAAGAGGTCACTTTGTTTTGACTACTTGACTCTTTCAGGTCTTCTAGGCAGTCTTCCATCAGTCGTGATTTGATTTCGGATGAGTGATGAGTAAAGCTAATTGTAGATGTCAATAGTTTTTCCTGATACTTGCCGATCTATTAATTTGGTTTGTAACGCTGTTGCGTACTCTCCTAGACTCTCCTACCATCTGTATATCAGACGAGTTCAGTTTGTATAGGAGGCATAACCTGTTTCCAGGATTTTCGGACTGGTATTTAAATTTTAAAATTTCTTTCACAGGTATTATTATGTGCGAACTCGACTCGTCGTGTTGAACAGAGAGAGAGACAGTACATAAGAATCGCAACCTGACGAACGAAGATAGGCGTCTTGATATATGCTGTATTGAAAAATGAGAATCTCACTGCAGGTTTCTCCTTGTATGAAGATGTGCAGTGGCGTGAGGTTTAATAGTACCTTCATCGTTGCAATTTGGTTTAGTACACATGGCCTTTGTGGTATTTAGATGCGATAAAGCATTATCTTGCATATTGCCTCGCTATAGTTGTATTATGGGATTCAGCACCAAATCTACATACTTCTGTGCAGTTAATATTTGTTGCAAGGGGATTAAGGACATTCTTTCCCTAGGATGAGTCCGCTCGAAAACAACACTGTTCTCCTGTTTTTATTTATTTATTTATTTATTTATTTTTTTTTTTTTTTTTTTCGGAACCGGTCGGTCAGCTTGGCTTGTCATCCACGGCCTCTTTAAACACGGATTCGTCGGTCATCAGGTTTAAGACTGATCCTGGTTTCGTCCGAAAATAAGATGTTTTGCTTTTCTTATATCGTCCACTTTTGGTGCGCCAGATACCAAATTAATCGATCGTTTTTGTTTTGTCTGGATAGCTGTGGAACTCTTTGTCTACTACTACAGTGTACATGCAATGGCTCTTTGAGACATAACCTACTCTACTTAAGCAATTATTCTTCCCCTCTGCTTATCTGATAACCCCACAAAAATCTTTTTCTTTTTTTTTCAATCAATATAACGTCAAGTATCATCTTTTTACGAACAAAAAAATATCTGTAAAATACTGGGCGATGCCATATAAGTTTGGTTGTGTATATATTCAATTCGCCCTCAAAGTATCTCGTTTAATCAACGTTTTTGCTGCTATATTTAGGTGTTCCGAGCCAACCCAGTAACCTGAGGACGTCAGACATTGGCGAAAGTTCTGTTACCCTACAGTGGACCAAACCGAGTCATTCCGGTGAAAATATAGTTAGTTACGAACTGTATTGGAACGACACGTACGCCAAAGAAAAACACCATCGGCGCATACCGATTTCAGAGACTTACACGTTAACAGGGTTGTATCCGAACACGCTGTATTACGTGTGGTTGGCCGCCAGATCTCAAAGAGGCGAGGGGGCCACCACCCCTCCGATACCCGTTCGAACGAAGCAATATGGTAAGATCTGAGGTGTAACAAGTGTGGTTTTACAGTTTTTTTTTACTTCTAAATAATAACGATTTATACTCATAAAGCTAGGAGTAAAATAAACTGCCTCGTAATTACTAAAAGTTTGACAGTGGCTGTTAAAAGCTATAAGAATTCCAAATAAACAAAATCGTTCGTTTGCCGGGCCTTAATGGTCGCCGTTAAGACACAATTTTTAAAATTTTGAAATTATCGAAGTACACTTTTATCTCATTGGTACCAAGAAGAAATTCGCATCAAATAAAGAGAAAATACACATTAAATACAAAATGAATGAATTTAAAGAAATGACAATTTGATTTTTTCCTTTATCAAAGTTCTGTAGTTATCAAAGGTTTCAAAGGTATCAAAGGTCACCATTTTAATGAGCACAAAACTACGCAACTTTTATCTAATTTAACTAACTTTCTATCTGTTATCGTTTGAGAAATAGCAATACGTCACTATGAAATAGTAGGGGCCCCGGGTACAGTCTTAATTTGATTTACAATATTTTTACAATTTTAATTTTATAATATGTGTCCCATTAATGCATTCGAAATATTAACATTTAGGTTGTACTATTTATTAATTAAGATAAATTATTTGGATAACTTATGCTAGAAGAGTTTTTTTATTTTTTGCCACAAAATTTGTTAACAAAAATATAATTTTCTACGATCACTATCGAAAGTAGGGTTTTGCGCTTTCAAATCCAACTAAAGTTGACGTTTTCCGCGAACTGACATTAAGTGACAGCTTTGTCGCTCGCATTTTCTATTTCTACTGTTGAAGCTACTAAAATTTCCTCTATGCTGTTAGGGGTTTGAGGTTCTTCAAACCATTTAATTTAGAACTTATTGTCAACTAGAATCCAGTCGTTATTTTCATCTCTGTAAAAAAGGCTCTAGGATGTGTTTGTACAATTCCACATTGTGCAAATTTGATTTTGAACAATCAAAATATTGCAGCAAGGAAGTATGAAGCTACTAAGTTTTTATTGAAATATATTTACACCATAACTTTGCATAAAAATGTCTAGCTTTGTTTCGTTTGCTCTGTGCATGATATGTCTGCTGTACATCTTACAAATGACCTTTTCAACACAGTCTAGGTCTATGGGATTTTTTCAGAACTACCAAAAAGCAAATAATTTCATCCTTTCTTGCAGACACGGTAATATAATCACTGCCTGTTAGGGCATGGTAAGCTGGTAGTATTTTGGCCAGTTTCCCAAAACTTTTGTATATATTATTTACTGCAATATACATTAGAATATTTTTAGTTTTGAATCATTTCTATTTCTTTTTCTGAAGCAAAATGCAGTATCTTCTGCTTTGAAATAGACTTTTCAAACCTATTGGCATCCACCTTAGATTATGCAGTAAATGTTTCTCTTAAGTTTTCTCACATGGTTGCAGTTTAAAAGAAAATTTTTAGTAACTTCAAATTAATTTACCGTTTTCCGGTAGGCAAATTAATGTCTAAAATTTCAGATGAAAAGGGATTTTAACTTATTCCTAAAAGAAATCATCAGTCATTCATTTCTTTTAAGAATAAGTTACTTTTTTTTATCCTATGATTGCAAAATAAAAAAAAAATAAAATGTACATTTAATTTGTATGGTGGTAAATAAAATATATTACTTGTTAATAGTAGTTTATGTTGTAAGCCGTTGCCTAGATCTTTAAATGCGAGCATGTAGAGATCAGGTAATGGACGTGTATCGTATAACGTTTCATGATATTCTGCATTTACTAGTTTTACAACCTAAAATCAAATAAATTTTGTCATTTGACACCATTATTATAAGTTTCCGAATATGACTTAAAAATTGTGATAGTTCAGATACAACTGTTGTTAAAATGTTTACCAGGCAGCACGTTATGAATCCCTTAACAACCATAAACAGAGGTTGGTTACCATGATTTAACATTGCATAAACTTATTTGCTGCATCTGCATTAAAAAAATAGATCATTTCGGCATCCATTTAACAAAGATATGTTAACTAATTTTTTCTTACTTTCGTTTGTCTTATAAATGCAACCGTCTGTTGATATTTTCTTTTTACCATAAGACTGACTAAAGAATCTAATAATTTGCAAAAAAAAAAAATAATCTAGTTATTAATGGTGATAGTAAAGGCGTTTTTTGAAAAATATTAACACCATCTGTTTCAAAAACGGAACCTCATGGCGGAGCAGATGTCAATATTTTGCATTGATTGTGTATTTTCTCTTTCTATGATGCGAATTTCTGCTTGGCACTAATGAATTAAAGAATTTAAACGTACTTCGATATTTTTAAAATTTTGAGAAGTGTGTGTCCTGACGTCGATTTTTTATTTGGTATTCTTACAGCTTTACACTGTCACTGTCAAACCTTTGATAATTATTATGCAGTTTATTTTACTCCCAGCTCTTGAACATTACTTATTGTGTAGTAGTTGTTGTCTCATTTGAAGAAACAATGGAAAATGGTATAAAATGTGATTGAATTTTTTTCAACAATTTTTGATTTTATCCTTCATTTCTGAAAGTAAGTGGAAAATTATTGACCTTTTAGCTCTTCGAAAGAATTCATCTGGTGTTTGTTACGAGCTTAAAGTACCTTATTTTTAATAAAATATTTTAAATTTATATTTGTTACATTTTTTCATTCTATCATATTTTCACTTATGTAAATATTTAAACTTAATTAATTCCATACCTCAAAGCAATTTAAGAGTCAAAGTAAAACAAATGAATTTTGTTCAGTTTTATCTCTGTGTGTACTACTATAAATTTTATCTGCTATTTTTCGTGAAGGAAGTCTCATGATTTTGGTTGGTTCTAAAATATGTTTTTTTCAAAATACTAGTTAGAAAATGTACCGCACTATTTTTGTTTTCTTTAAGAATCCGCATTTGTTTTAAAAAGGTAACCCAAAACACTATTGCAACTGGTACAAAATTTATGCTCCACTTGAGCGCCATTTTGCCTGAAGAGCCGCAAATACGAAACGGTTCGTCACTGAATGGCAAGTGACAAGTTCCCTTAAGTATCAAATCAAGTAGATGTACTCTATTTAATATACAGGGTTTTATTGTATCCTAATTTAACAATTATAGAAGGAAAACCAAAAATTGGCATTATTTTTTGTGATTCCTTTTAAATATCCTGCGTATTTCAATGGAGTTGAACCAAGTTATTAATTTTACAATTCTTAGTTACAAAATTTTTCAATGCTTTATTTAAAATGAATTGGTCATTGTAACTGGTAACAACATTGGGAACCATTTATTTCAATAACAATAATTTCAAGGACGAAGAGGGGAGGACATTTTACTAATCTATATCATTTTAAATAGTTGAATTGTCCAAATAATTTTTCACTAACTTTCCACATTCGAATCACGTTACACCCCACAAATATAAAGTGGTGTAGGTGTCACATAACAAATCTATTAATTAATATATATTTTTAAATTATATATCAATAATCACCCATTTCATGGATTTATTTATTTTGTTTTGATGTGTGTAAGTTTTTACTACTAATACAATTATTTTGGAATGTGTGAAGAGTGTGTGACCTTTTGTGTATGCATTTTGCATGTCGACATTTAGATTTCAGTGGATATTAATTTTTATGAGCACTGCACAAAGTTATATGGTGAGCTAATTTTGAATCCTATAAAATATATCTTTTTTTCCAACATAGAATGTTGAATATTTTCTAAATTTTATTTTCTGTACGGTCATAACTGTGAACTTTGTTTTAGCTAATTTTTTATCTTAATTTCCAATGACCTAATATTTTTATTGGCATTGTAATCAAATATAAGTGTATTTTTTGAAGAATATAATATACAGTGTCTGTTAAAAAGTCTGCACTATAAAAAAATAATTTTATTACTGATTAAAAAAAAGTTGATAAAAGTTGATGTATTATTTAATAATATTCAAAATCCAATCATCAAAAAATAAACCCCATGACTAATACATTTTTATTTTTAATTGCATTTTAAATTTTAGATTATGCAATAACTTTTATCAAGAACATTTTTTTATAGACAAACAATAATAAACCAGTTTTCCTACTGCACAGATTGGCATTCACTAACAATATATATTGTTTATTGATAGATACAATAAGAATACATTTATTATTGTTATATGCAAAATAAATTTATTATACAGGATTTTGTTTTTCAGATGCGCATATCGTTGTTACACAAGAATAGTGACACAACTCAAAAACATAGTTTTTTTGAATACCTCCAGTTAATTTTTTCCTTTAATGATCTCTTGCATTATAAAAATGTTTAATATTTTTTTTGGAACTAAAAATTTGCTTTGATAACGTTAAGAAAAAACCCATTAATTAATTTTCATCCTTCTTTTGAGTTATGACGATCTTCCTTAAAAGGATATTTCACACCATATTGATAATGGCCGAATTAATCTCATTTGTGTTACTGTAGAAATTAATTTTCTTAGTTTATTTTATAAAACCCATATTTTGATTTATATCACTAGCCAAAAATTGACGATCTTGTCTCATTAACTATTGGAGCACAACTAGATTTGTGTCACTCTTCATCATCATAAACTCGCAAACTTTGTAGTACCGGAAAAACAACACACCATCGGTCATTTTTAGAAGTAGAATATGTCGTTTTTCCTCTTATAAATAGGCGGATTTTTATAATAAACTTAAAAATGGAAATGTTTGAGTTGTGTCACTATTCTTGTGCACCAGCGATATTTACATGTACGTATATTCATTGCCATCGCCAGTTTTTATGGAAACATACATTTTTGATATTAGCATTTTAGAGAGAACTTTTTTTGCATATAAATAATATTTCCCTATTTTTTACGGTTAAAATCTCATATTGAACATGTTTCTTTAAAATCAATAATTAAATATTTTAATAATTTGTTTTTGATATTTCAACGGTTAAACTTTAAGATGATATTTATTTGATCCATCATTGGCCACTAATAGTGTAGAATGGAAAAAGCTAAATTGTTGGACACAAGGTTTTTAAATATGACAAATTTTTAATTTTCTTGAGTAAAAATTAAATCTACGTTTACAAATTACTAAAAATACATTTGGAAATTCGTTGACATGAATGCTTTGACAGAATTAAGATCCGAAACGAGAGTGTATATTTTCTTTATTGTATTTTTCGTGACATCACTGTTGTTTGTCATCGTGTTTTAATGTTTCATGTTATAAAAACAGTTATTTTATTAACATTAAAGTACCTAACCTCCATTTTCTGACATTCCAATCGTCCAATCCGGGTCTTATCATAGTTCTAGTATTCTTAATTGGTTCCTATTTAGAGAGTACTCTTGATCCTCTTATACAGGTTTTCCAGTGTAAGTACTTGATTTTTGGGACATTGCTCATCATGGGTAGAATTCGTTGGCTTTAAAAACAGGCCAGACACCTCATCACTAGGACCCCGCCCACTGCCGTTGGATTGGTGAATCGCCACTGCTTTTCGGTAGTTAGACGTGTCCAGTCAAAAGGTTGATTATGTACCTGGTCCGTTTCTTAAAGAAAACTATTATATTTTATTAAACTTTGTCCTATACCTATTTTGGTCTGCAGGTGTCATCAGTTTGTAGATACAGTTCCATAGTAGCCTCCACATCAGTCTTACATTATACTTCTGCTGATTTCGGTAGTTATGCTATTGCATAGCTAAGACAGGTGTCCCTTAGCTTAGATTGAACATGAATGGGATGTTCTCATCGCCCTTCAGTGGGACCCCGTTGGATCTAATATTGTTCATACTGCAAGCCACACCTTTTGATGAAGGTTGAATTGAGTAAGACTTGTTTAATGTCTGTAGACTTCAGTCGGGTGAATCCGAAGATCTGGAACCTAGTTCTTTACAAAGCGGATTCGTCTTCCAAGCTGCAGAATCGATAAGCCGATATTTATTACAAATCTATCCTCATGTGGTTACGAACACGACAATGACCTGTCATCAGTTCTATGTGAATACGTAGATCTTTTTCTACTCCATTCCCGGATTTTATTCGCTTGCAATTTTATTACAATAATTTCTGCTTAATATGTCAACTCTTGGCTTCTGGCCGAAAACTTCCGCTCCTACTCCTTTTTCACTTTTGTAGCCATCCGTGTACAGCGTATAGTCCGCCTGGGAGAGCGCCTCCCTTTCCAGCAAAATGAGGAGAGGGCTTAGACCCAGTATGGTCTCCATGGCTCCTATCGATGTAGTTATTAAGTAGCTACGGCTGGTGTCCCTTGGTGTTAATAATTACTATTTTTTAGGTGGTTAAATATATTTTTAAAACTGTCAAACTAGAACAATTTCAAATCTGTCATGTTTCTGAGCAATATCCAGATACATTTTTAGTTCGTTTTCACTTACAAGAAAAAGTAGAAGGTGGTAGATATATTTTAGAAATCTTGCAGCTCTTTCCATTCGAATTGAAACAAATATTGAACAGCACTTTTTATTTTAATTTTCTACCACAAATTAAGTAGTTGCGAACACACAGATTCTTTTAATATCCACTCAAACCGACATATATATATAATCGAAAGAAAGAGTAAGTCCTTAGTTAGCTATATAAGTATATACAAAAAAACCTCTATTGGCTTGGCTTGAATTTAACGCTGACCCGCCATCTTAGTACCTGGAGCCCCTCCCACCAACGTTATCGGAGAAGCGGTAAGTCCCACAGCCATCAGCGTATCGTGGGACCCCCCACCCGCCAATCGTACCAATGGTAATATCATTTACTACAAGCTGCAGTTCGTGGAATCAGATCGATCAGATAGCGAGGCTAACATTATCAAATTTAATGGTACTAGTATTGTTCTTGACGAGCTAAAACGGTGGACGACGTACAGGATATGGGTGCTAGCCGGTACTTCCGTTGGAGATGGTCCCAGTTCGTATCCCATCACAGTGCGAACACACGAAGATGGTACGTTTATGTCATTAATGGTATCGGAATATAATACAAGTTAGGGGTGGTTGGTTAGGTTGCACTATCATGTGGAGTTTTATGGACAGTATTGTTTTGGTACTTGACTTAAATTCAAATGGTCGGTATTAGATCATTTTCACATCATTAGTTTTTGGATTTTATATACTTCTGTTAGGTTAATATTTGGAATAAAAGAAAAATACATTAATAACTTCGAACAATTTACTATTTCTGATATTTGACAATCGACATGATATAAAAACATTACCTCAAAATATAATATTTCGACAACTTCCATCTTCAAATAATATGTAACTTGTCAAATTGAAATAGATAAATACTTAAAATTTATTTTATTTCCAGCATCTAAATTAAGTTGGCTTTGTACTAAGTAATTCAATTACCTGTGCACATCAAACCTATTTTGAACAAACAATGGAATCAAACGTTAATGTGTACTCCTAGCTTAATGACATGACATTTCTACGTAAAGTAACAGTTTCAACTTTTACTTTTTTTAAGTCAAAATGTCACAAAAACTACTAGTCTAATTCATTCATTCCTAATTAAGCCCTTGTTTACTTGCAAGTATTCAGCTCGTGTTTTGTTAGGCAAACAGAGCTGCTTCATTAGAAAGGACGAGGCACCTACTAAATTAAGTGGAGATGGTTTGTGCGTGCGAGCATACGTTTTACGAATGAACCAGCTTGTACAATAATGACTGACTTTAAGAATACAAATATACTTGCTTAATGTAATTTTTAAATTATTGTTTGCAATTTAGAGCTTGTTAATTCTGAATTATAACCATAAACAATCCTTGTACACTCTCCTGTTTTTGGAAAAAAAATGTGTCTAGTAGTTGTTCGTCATTGGGTACTACTGAAAATATCCCAAGACTCTTGATATTTTCTAAATAATTGCTTGTAATGTCCTGAAAAATTGGATACCTGGAAAATCACTTTCTTAAAAAATTAAGATTTACTTTATTTTTAAACATTTTATTTTTAACTTTGAAAAAATATCCATTCCATTCAACGTAAATTATTTTAAAATTGTATGAAAAATAGTTATTGAATCTTTTCAGAATTAAATTGTCATCCTTCATTTCTAATTCTTCTGATAGAGAAGAACACACTTTTTAGACTAACATCTGCATTCTCAAAACCTATTTAAACGCACGGGATTAGTAAATTCAAATAATTAAGGTTATGTTTCCTCAAATCATTATCAAATTAAATATTTGTTATTATTTTTTCTGAAAAACATGTAATCTTTTGAAGAACATGTAAACAATGTTAGCTTACCGATACTTTTAAATATCAGTAACTACTTAACAGTTCATGAAATATTGCCTAACTCTATTAGAGATTCATTCAAGTTTACCCATGTGTAACAGGTACGTTCATGTTCATAGATCGTTTATGAATTGCGAGGTAAGAGTACTAAAATGGACTCCAGCGGTATACCGCATCACTTTATTTGTTTAATGTTGTAATATGTAATATTTTTTTTAATTTTTACTGAATAAAAACATTTTTTGAATTGTTATTTCTAATATTATTTTCATTTTATACATTTTTTATGGAAAATTTGCCTTAATTTTTCTGGAACAACAAATAATTTATTGTCAAATTAATTATAGTGGCATGTTGATATCACGTGTATAATAATATTCCAAAAGCTTATTTCTGAAAATTACAGTTCTGATCACGCATACATTAATTAATCGATGGTTTAAAAATGATAAAAATACCTAAAAATCTAATTTTTTTCATAATATATCTTAAAAAAAAATAATACATTTGAAATAAGTCTTGTACCAAAATAATTTTTGGGGACACTACATTATATATAAAAAATGATACAAGTTTGGATATTTTTCGAAAATAAATATTTTTGATTTTGGTTAAATGAAATTTATAATATCCAAACATGTATACTACTGTTAGTCATTTTGAAATACCTACAAGTGACATTCATTTAATTATTATGAAATTCATTGCAGTCACAAAAAAATCACAACTTATGTTAAACTTAAAGATAGCTGCCTTTAACCGTTTTTACTAATCTGCTAATCTTTCTTTTTATTCCAATTGCAGTAAAAGTTTATTTTAAAATCCTTGTCTAATTTTAATTTAAATCGAAATGAATTAAACTTGCTATATTTGCTACAATAACCAAAAATGTACAAAAGAATATGTTGGTTTTCTTTATCACTTCCTATATCCTTTATTGTATCCTTATTATTACTTTTTATTTTGGTTCCGTAACAATTATACGTCCCTTTATTATTTGAATTTTATTTCCGAACTCTTTTTTGGCATATCCACAGTGATATGTGTGACTTATATAACTGTAATTTTTTTCACCATTGCAGCTCGCCAAACAAAAAGGATTTTTTGATACATTTTTATCTCTTTTTTGTGATTTTTTGCAGCCCTCTTGTACCTCAATTTTTGTTGAGGGGGAGTATTTTGAATGTTTTATATTCGATGCACTCCAAAATGCGCCAAAATTGTCTTTTTTTCGACAATTTTCCGCATCATTTGGGTTGGATCGATGATTTTTTTATAACATTTTCTGTCTACAAAAGCGTTTGCAGGAGAGTGGAGAAAGGTTTTTTATTTTTGAGAAATTTTTTGATGTATCTCGGTATATTTAAAAAAAAAAAATTAAACTAGTTGTGTCTTATTTATTGTTGTGTTACTTAGCTACTCACGTTCACATGTAATGATTGCTTTTTGATTTATCTCACTCGCACTAAGTCGCATATTGCAATGGCACAAATTTTTTTTTAAGTCACAATCGGCACCATTTTTCTCTGTTTTTGTTACAATTTTTTTTTTTTCAGCACTGATACTGGTAATTTTAGATACAACTGTGTAAATAGAATTTCGTTTGTTTTTTTTTTGAAGTACAAGATATATATTTTGCTATTTAAAAAATATATAATTGTATCTTTGTCCTACTTGAAACGAAATTCTGTTTATTAACCTATTTACAAAAGCATGTTACACCCAAAAAAAAATACCTCTAAATCCTGTTAGATATTAATCCACTGAAAATAGCGTTTATTTTAATAAGCACCATTCTAAATGGGTCAACATCAGATGTATTATATTCAGTAGTGTTGGTAACTATCGGATATATCAAATTTATATTGCAGAAGTATAAATAAGATCTTAAAAGACCATTCGGCTTGATGTGGTTTTGAAAAAGGCATGTTCTCGGAAATTAGGCAATGTATTTTAAGAGATCTTTTATAAGTTCTGACGTACCCAACATGTCATTTACACTCTTGCAAAAACACCTCGATAAAATTTTCATTAGATTTCTTATCTCTTCTTGTTTATTTATTTCCCACGTTGGGCGCCAAAGTATAAATGACTCTATTTTTGTTTAAGCATTTTGCTACTTGTTTGTGTTCCATCCTCTTGGTTATCTATTGCTCTCATTACTGTATATGTAACGTAAGGAGGATGGGTTGTCCCGCGACACTTAAGCCTCACTAGGCCTATTGTACATTCTCTTAAATTTATAGGCCCCTCTTAGCTTCTTAGCTAGCTTAAAGGTTTGATGTAGTTGACAACGTCGTCTTGAGGTGCTTCTCTTATATCGTGCCAAAAACCGCAGAACACCAATCTTCTAGTAATGACAACGTTGGACAATTGTAGAGGAGAGGCTCAATGGTCGCATCTTCTTGGTAATGATCAGTCAGAATACCCGTGATTAGGTACAGATTCTGAGTAACTTAAAAACTCTCTGGCAACTCTGCAGCTTCTTGTTTCATCCCACCTTTCCTTAATTTTAACAGGGGAATGTTCTTTAATTAGGTTTGTCTCTACCGATATTGTCAGTCCAATGGAAGGATCAGGTCCAAAATATTTAGTTGGCTGCCTTCTCGGCTAGTGAATGGTTACCCCCTCGATGTTTCGTGACCTTTGGTCCATCTCAAGGTAAATATATTGTTAATGTATACTTCGGGCAAAGCTTCATGACATTTTGGTATTATCTCTGAGTAAATTCGTGGTCTGTTCAGGGCGAATAGTGCTTGTCTTCTATCTGTATAGATGACCATGTTTCTTTCAGTGATATTGTTTCCATCTGGTAATTTTTTTTGCTGCTATGAGAATCCCTGTGATCTCGGTTTGAAGTGTACTGTTATTATTGCTCACAGATCATTTTATGTTTACGTTGAACGATCTGGAGTATATTCTACATCCTGAACCTTGTATGTTGTAACCGTCGGTGTAGATATGAATCGTTCCTTCTACTTTCGACTCTTCTATTTCTTGCGTTATAACTTTATATGGCTTATGGAAGAGATATCTTGTTTGCTTCAATTAGTTGAAGCGTAACGAGTGTCACTAGGTTCTATTCCAACTGTGCGGAGTCATTTCATTGTCATTAGAACAACTTCCTTGATGTAAATATCAAGGGGAGTGAGACTAAGAATTACTTTTATGACTGGTTGATTTGTTCTAGTTTGCCGTCAATTGTTGGATTTTCGATACCCAGACAACTGCACTTTATGTTAGGATAGATCCATGTGACGACTTGGGGGGAGAGATCCCAGTTGCGTCCCACGGTTCGGCGGCATTGTTCATGAGCAATGTATGCTTTTTGGCTCTGTTTTCTAGGGGTGAGGTCCATGTTAATTTGCGGTCAAAGGTGAGACCTAGATACTTCACCTCTGTTGCAAAGTTTAGTTTTGTGTTTAGAAGCTGTAGTTGTTTTAATTGTTTTAATTTTGAACATTGTTACGTGCATATTTGGCAGCTCTAAATACTCGACTATATATTCGAACACAAATAGGTCAAGCGTACTTGATTGCTGATATCAGTTTTTAAAGGTACTGTTTGTTGTAAACTAGCGGTATGAGTTGACTACATTTTCTGTCTTATCAATTGTCATTCTTGATATTTAATTCATCTTATCAATAGACAGGAGTATAGGAATTTATTTCGTAGTATTTAAGTTGTACCTTTTATCCTTCCTAATTGCTGTATCTTTATCCCAAAACATTTTTTTTTTTTCAATTTGTTAAGTTCACCTGGAAAAGAACAATGTATCGTTACGTGTTCGCTTATAAGTTTAGCCTCTTACCTCGAGAGAATTAATTATCAACGAGCCAATAACAATGAATTTGTTTGCTTGTTTTAATTAATTAATCATTTTTATTAATGTTATTGTTATAGCTGTCAAACATACCAATCTATGAATAGCCTATTTTTAACGTGAAGTCAGCTGACGGAACGTTTGACTGGGAACTACACATTAGGCGGAGAGGCGCGTTCGTTATTGTAGTTATGTTGTTTCCAGAGTGTTTGGTACGTGTTAGGAGATTTTTCGGAATCAGTTTTTGTATCGTTGGCGTCCTTTAAATATGTCTACTATTTCCGTTAGCTATCGTCTTAAGCGACGTCCAAGTCCCGAAGGTTCAGACGGGGACAGCCGAAACGTATGTAACTGCAGTAGACAAAATTTTATTGGTAATTTTTATTTTAAGTTCAGGTTTAGTCACTTTTCCTCACTGGAAGTTGCCGAGTTCATTCGGTATGTTACAACATTTCTGTCTTCTTGGGATTGATAGACAGTGAATGGTCCTTGAACCACTGTTCTATAATTTTGAAAACTACTTGTATTCTTTCAGATTAAGTTCTCAGAATTCCCTTTTTGAATAATAATGACCAGGTCATCTGCATACACTATTGTGTGAGTATGATATTGAGGCGGGCGATGAGGGTGTTGAGGACCATGTTCCACAGTAGAGGTGATAGTAACCCTCCCTGTGAACATCCCCTTGCAACCAAGTCTCTTTTATTTGTCATTTTACTATTTCTACAATATTTACACATCTTTGTATAAGTCTTTCGATTCTAGATTTATTCCATCTACTTTTTTTTCTCAGATCATGTTTACTATCGAACAATCGATTATTACCAACCCTAGAAATACAAAGCTAATTTCTGTTGATTTTTGTTTAAATTTATATTATTTTCGGATATTTTCAGTGGTCTGACTTAATGTAGTAAAAAATAATCTCCCTCCTAAATAGTCCTTTATCCTTTCCCCTCTTAAAGCTAATCAGCACCTCACTCACAGTAGGTGATTTGCGGCACTTTTAAATCACATTTTATTGAGTGTACTTTTTTATAAAATGCACCTTTTTGAGTGTGGTTGTGTGATTGTGTTAAAAAAAATATATAGAGAGAATATTTGAATATATAAAACACATTCCAACAAGATTCGCCTAAATACTAAATTTTTACAAAAAAAAATAACCTTATGATAGAAAATATAAGATACCTACATCAATATTTATTAATTAAATCTGTTTTAATGTCAAAAATACGTTATAACTAAACTTAATTTAAAATTTATCATTAGTGACCATAATTTTTTGCTATGGAAAATGTTTCACAAATATCGCTGTTCTGTTCACAATTTATATGTCTTGTTGTATCAAATTATAAACGACAATTATGTTTTTAAATTCTTTGGAAGTCACCGAATAAATTGCAAAATTTCACCTACGAAATAATGAAAATTATTTTTGAACCCCCAAAGTGAAAATAAATTTAATAAAAAATTGAATAAATCTCCATTAGGACATAAGGCTCCGAAATGCAAATTGTTAATTTTCGAATCCAACCTCGGTGACAGAAAATGTCCAATCTTCCAATAAACTACTAATCAGCATCGTCTAGGGAAATATACTATATGCATATAGGTCGTCTGTGTTATGTATAACGAAAACGTAATACATACAGACGATCTAGGGAAGTGTCTGCATGCATATAGCATGATTCCTTAGACGATCCTAATTAGTAGTATGTTTCAAGATTAGAAATTTGGATTCTTATTGCAAAAAAAAACTAAATACTCGATAGTATCAAGCGCAAATCAACTATATTAATAATTATAAATGTTATATTTGGGAACGTTATTTTGAGAGCCATTTTGAAATATAAATATTTAAACCTGACCCTAAACGAAACATCTTATGACATACATTAAAAATTCCTTTTTTCGTTCAGATCGATATTTAGAAACATTTTCCAATAGTTTAGCTATATCAGGATCGTAGATGCCTTTCATACCCCAGTTACTAATTTGGCATTAGATATTTTAATAACTTATTACTCCGCATTTGAATACCAATACTAACAGTAGTTCTGTAGTAATTGACAATAAACAGTAGCATGAGATAAATTTAAATTTACTAAAACGACGAAATTAATTAATAGTAAACACATTAAAGTGCATGATTTTTTTTGAAAAATCCTTTAGAAAGTTCCCTCAGCACTGATTTTATCCGCGTTTGATTTTTTAGCACAGACCTATCCTTTAATTGGTTTTTAGGACTGCGAAATATTTAATGGGCTATTCTCAAAAAGTTAAATAAAAAATATATATACAATCGTGTGGTAACTGAGGTTATTTTTAGAATGGTAAGTATCACTTTACCGCACCGTAAATTAGGAACATAACAAATAGTGCGAAATTATGTTATAAAATAACAAAATAATTGAATTCAAAGAGATATTAAAATTACTTTAATTTGTACTCTTTTAGCTTTTGTATAGCAGAATTGTGCCAAAAAGAATATTTTTTTATAAACCAAACAATAATACACAAAATACGCGAATGGTAAAAGACTTAAAAGTGACAATGTTAGGAGTAATGAAAGATTTTGTCATTTTTTTTGAGACCCTATTGGGTTTACATGAAATATAGGTGATGTATTTATAAAAAAAACCTTTCGCGTGTACATATTTTTATGAATCCTCTAAATGTGAAATCTATCCCAGAAAAATGGTGATGATTTTGCCAAATTATATATTTTTAGACCCGCAAATTTTTGTTTATATAGGGTGTTTCATTGTGAAAAGAAAATACGTTAACGCTAAATAGAGGTCACTGAGGTGGTTCTAAATACATCTTATTCTATACAAGCGAGGTAAATAAAGACCGTTTTGGGTACTATATTTTGTTGGTCACTTAATAATATAATAGGTAATCGTTAATCCGAATGCAAATTGTACAGGATGTTTTCCTTTAAGATAAAGTGGGTGTTTTCATATGATCATTTTAGTTTATTGTAATCCTTTGACTACAAAAGTATTAATATAGCGTCCTTGCTGTTCTTTTACATACCTTTCTCGAGACGTCACATAAAAGATAAATAATTACAATGATTAATGCGAGATCAGAAAAAGGTTGAATTGTTAATTGTTATCAGCAAAAAAAAACAAAGAATTTAAGTTTAGATTTAAGGTTACAACTGCAAAACTATTTGCACAATTTTTTGGTTCAAAAACTACTAATTACCAAATATACCGGATAGCACTTTATTGTGATGGACAACGCAAGTATGAAGACTAGAGATAAAGAGGCGAATCGGCATACTCAAAATACGGTCCCAAAAAACGCACGCTAATTGAGCTTTTATAATTAACCGCATGGGCGCTAGTCAGAGCTGTGATAAGTATTTAGCAAATGTACTTCAAGTAACCAGTATTAAGTAATTTAAATTCCAAATCTACTTACAATATTAAGTATAAGTATTTTACGAAAGTACTTGAAATATTAAGTATTTTACTTAAAACAAATAATTCAAGTATAAGTAGCAAGTACATACCTTAAAAATACTTAGAATTACTTCAGTATATTGAATTTACTTTAAGTACTAAAAATATGTTAAAAATACTTAAAGTACTTTTAAAGATTCAGTATTTTGAAATACTAATTACTTAAGTCATGTTTTACGTATATATTAAATTAAAGATCCCCTCTTGAGTTATCAACTTAAAACTCAACATATATTGCTTTGTATAAATTAATAAAGTACACTACTATTTCGTTTAGACATGACAATAAAAATGGCCATCCAATATGTTTGTATGTGTATAACATACAATATACCATGTATACTTGGTTTATTAAAATAATTGAAATCTTGAGTTTTACTCGACGTTTTTGTTACATTGTTATTTGTTAGATGATGACATGATGAAATAAATTATATATTTTCCAACAACTTCATAAAACTTTCCATCTTTGTATTTTTTCGGTAAGCAAATTATCTTGACCATCGCTAAACTGCTCTGGTTTTTGACTTGGTTCAATTTGTAAAATTTGACTTATGCTTTCATTCCTTACTCCAAAATAATCCGGCAACAACTTTTTTTTGGGTGTCTTGGGGGGTCTAACTTGGGTCATCGTCTGATATTTGGAACGGGTCCTCTGGCGAAGCCGAAGTCGCCTCAAATATATCATGCTCAACTTCAATGCTTTCTATAAGTTGTAGATATTAAATATATACAATAATTAAAGGTACCATACCATAATGCGGTTTACCCTCGAAGTAAACCGATTAAGATTCTTGTTTTAATAGAAAATATCATAGAATTCTGCAAAAAATATATTTTTCCTACTTGCGTACGGAAAAACGTTTTTTACGCACGTAAATGTGTGCTGGAAGTTGAATTTTTCACACGCTGTGTGGAAATAGTAGTTTGTGCAACAAGAGTGGATATGATAGAGTGCTCAATCATCTGAGTGCGATATGGACAATCCAATCGAGTTATACAGAATATTTTTTCTACCACCCACTAACGAAAATGTGAACTGTGATTGGTGGATTTCATTTTTTTTGCAGTATTCTCACTACCTAGAATGGATATGAAATATATTCGTTCGGTTGAACGCAATGACATACCTTTTCGTTTTGTAGTCTGTGCGTAGATAAGCTAATATCCATGTGAGGTAGAATAAATATTTGTTTTCATTTACGCCGTGACTAGCAGTAGTATTTTATAAACCTTAGAAGCAAATTTCACATACATAAACAAATAATAATAATAATGCCGTGACAACAAGAAGACGAAGCAACGACTTTTCGTAGGGTGGCGGCTTCGCCGCCACCAGAAAATTTTAATCCTTACCTGGCTACGCCGACCGGCATAAACACCAACGGCCTGAACACAGCTCACCTACTCTGTCAAAAGGAGACCGATGTACAAATAAAACGCGTACAAATGATTAGTGTTGTCCCCGATACGCGAGTATTACGAGTAGTATTATTAGTAGGTACCAGGTATCGATGAACTACAAGTCCGGCATCGGTACACGTTAGACGTCGTGTGTCGCAAAGATTTGATTTGGTTGAGCGTGTTTACTGTCACTATACTGTTTACTGTCACTATACTGTTTACTGTCACTAAACAGTTTACTGTCACTAAACAGTTTACTGTCACTATACTGTTTACTGTCCGGGTAATATGAAATGCGGGTCCTAGCTTGTTTGGCATGGCAATATTTTTTATAAAATATTTAAAGTAAATATGTACTTAAAATAGTTTCAAAAGTACTTTAAGTATTTTCCATTTAAGTATTTACTGTTAAAAATTACTTAAGTATTTTCAGAAAAAACTTTAAGTAGATTCGGATTTTCCAGTACATTTTTCAATTAACAAGTAATACAACAAAAGCGTTAATTTAAGTACAAGTACTTTTTTTCAAATGTAATAAGTATATTTCTAAAAGTATCGTTAGTACATAAATACTTAAGTAAAATACTTAAAGTAAAAAAATACTGATTATTTATTTCAAGTACACTTTTGTACTGAGTACCTCAGCTCTGGCGCTAGTACTGCATAGGGTGTTCAAAATACATGGCTTCTTATGGGAATTATACATAATTTTGTCAAAATATTAAAAATAAACTTGTTTATAGCTAAATAAAGCACAGAATATACTGTTGTATTTATTTCTAAATAAGTCTTGCATGTTTTAATTGATAAATTATTTAATTTTATCTATATAAAACACAAATTAGGTAGGTATGACCAAATTCGAGAAGGTTTGTTAAATGCTGAAGTACAATTTTGTGCAATTTTTTTTTAATTGAACCTATATATATTTTAAGAGCAAAATAAAACACAATTAACAGATTTTTTATTGTTTTAATAAAAATATAAAGGGAGATTTGGGAATTTACATGGTATTACCTCATCGTTTAATTTCAGCTTTACCCTTTTTATTTTGCTAACAGTGCCATCAGTAAAAATAGTCTCATAATGTTTGATAATATCTTCTAAAAAGTATAGAACAGCATCATCTCTAGAAAGTGCTTATCGGCACTAGGAACGATATATATGCTGCCATTGTTCTAAGCGTTTAGTATCCTATAAAAAACATTTACAATTGGGATTCAACAACATAAATAACAGAGTAGCAACTCTTTATCTAACATTAAAACTCTATAAAAAATAAATTTTCTTTTCTAGTAAGTTACATTTATTGTATAATTATTGTTGTTTGTGAGTCAGGATCTATGACTGTAAAATTTTGTATTATAGAAACTTGTAATAAAATAAATTACATTCCGTAAGATACATATTGTGACTAGTTTACAATAAATATTATATTTACATTATTTTACTTATATTAGAAGCTTTAAAAAGACATTGAATTGATTTCTCCTTGTGTTTTTTTAGTTTTACATTTGATTTATATCCTGTTTTACAATCTGGAACGACGTAAATCTTGCTTTGATGTTTTTTGTCTTACATAGAAAATTGACACCGCTGTTATTCGACATGCCAACTACGGTCAATTTCGCGAACTTTATAAAAAGAAGGACTGAAATTTGATCATTGCCGATTCGCCTCCTTCTCTCTAGTCTTCATAAACGCAAGCTATTATATCCGTCGATTAAATCGAGTACCAAATAGTGTAAACGCTAAATCGTAAATTCAAGAATATTTGTTAAATAGTGGCTTGATCATTAACTATATCGTTCGCCGATAGCAATAATGGTACATTTCAAAAATAGTACTCTTGAAGAAAAATAAGTTTAAATTTTTTATTGATTTTATTTTTATCAAAATTGATAGAGCATAAATAGGAATTTGAAGTTTGACGTCGATTATGATTTACTGTTTAGGTTAAAATTCATAGACAATGAGTTCGTTCTATTTTTTGTTTTTTAACTTGAATTTGATAAGATATGCCACTGTTGACGAGACTATTAATTACAGTCTATACTGACATATTTAAAAATGTCTCACTATTTTTCGGCACTTGAATATTAAAACACTTAAAAATGGAAAATCTATACTGGCATATTTAAAACTGTGTCACTATTTTTCTGCACTTGAATGCTAAATCAATTTGCGCAACTGAAAAGTGTCACTATTGCCCAAACATATTGATTATGTGCCAGATAAAGGTAAAGGATTTGTATTTCATTATCCCAAATGGAAATGGGCCACTAAAGGCATTCCTATCCTCTTCAAACGCACTGAAGGGATCAGGTCTGAGGAGATGAATGAGGTTGAAGGAATGGTGAGAGGATGTTACCGCCCCAGCATTTGCCTATTGCTATGAGAATACCTCTGAAAAACTCATAAAAGGTGAGGTGGCAGTGGAGCTCGATCCCACGACCTTCCATATGAGAGACAAGTGTTACTGCTTGTGGTATGTGCCACTATTGGTTCAGTTTAAATAAAAAACGTATTATGATGCTATAGTGACACATTCGCCATCTCGAGGAATATATGCTAGCTAAAATTGCACCGGTCTTGCTCGAAAAAAATGTATTAAATTTAACTTATTATGCTACGTTTATCTATAATTTTTGAAATTTTTTAGTTGTGCAACTATTGCTCTCGGTGAGCAATATAATACCACCCGTTTCATTTAATGCTATAAATATCTTAAAGACGAGCTTATCAGTATGTCATTGCTTTTGTACTGTAACTAAATTATTGAATTGTCATGGAATATTAATTTCATTATATAATCTATTGAATACAACTTTTGATATCGAGATTATGGATATTCACATAAATGTATACACTCAAATATTTGTTTGCATTAGCTTATGCGACTATCGACAATTTAACGTAGTTGTAAGGCTGTAAGATCCATCAAATGACCTTTACTCACCGTTAATGTGTTTCCGTTTCAACGATGAAATTTGTTTAATCCGTACTAAAATTTTGAATACTAAATACTACTAACCCTAACATCATTTCTTTTTGTAAATTATTTACAAGCCGACACGAATTTTCGCTATTTTTGAATCAATACATGTGTGTGAGTATTTTTGAAACATGTTTTTTTTTGAACCTCCAAGCATTTTTGTAGCGGAGTACGATTTTTTGATGATTTTTTGGTAACGGTAATTATATTTTGGTATTTTTTCCTTAAATTAATGCCTAACGTTGGTCCTTCAGTTGCTCGAAGTGAGTACCGTATTGTCTTTTTTATTTTATGGTAGTAGTACAAGATAGGCAACTTATATAGTAGACATTTCGTGTGCTTCTTTTTTTTTAAGGGAATACAAACGATCTTTCTACTATTTTTTTTTTTGAAGAAAGATCGTTTTCCCGTGTACATTTATATTGAAAAGCAGCTGTAATTTTTTTATTTTTCTTTTTTGCGATCTAGTAGAATAGACTTTAAACGTTATATTAGTTGTCCTTTTCTGGTTCACACGAAAGAGGATGAGGTAACTATATGACAATTTTCCATGTGTTGGTATTCAAATGTTTCAGGTTTTCCATTGGTTTTGAAACATAAATATGGTTTAAAAAATAATAAACGTGTGATGTGTTTTTTTTGCATGATACGAACAAGTTACGCTGTTCCGTTTTTTAACATACAATTCTTTCCTGAATAGTGCCCGGCGATCCTCAAGATGTCAAGGTGACACCTATTAACTCTACTACTATCAAAGTTAATTGGAAACCTCCTCAGACAAGGGACAGAAACGGGATCATTTTAGGGTATCACGTACACGTCCAAGAAACTAAAGAAGAGGTTAGTTAAGTAATGTGAATGAACTTTATTTCTTTCAAAATTTGGAGCACATATTGCAACTTACAGATGAACAAAAGAAATAAACGAGTAACGGGCGTCTTTTAACATTATAAGCTTTGTTTGTTCTTCAGTTTAAATCGCCAAGTGTTACCGTTTCGATGAAGGTGGGTGGGTTTTTCCGGGTTTTCCTCTTCTGTAAGTCAAATCGCACTATTAATCTTCTTTAAGTGGCCCCGGACCGCCACGAAAAATAATAATAATAGTTGCCCTTTCCCGGACAAGCTCAGCTTTTGGGGTTAAAATTCACTTGTAAGGGGGTGAATTAGGGAGAGTATTATTATAATTATAATTACCTACTTCCTAACGTCAAGAACAAATTGAATACTAACCTCTTTGACCAGGAATTTCCGGAATCCACCATGATAACGACATGACCAAGTAGAATTGGTTTTCACTCTCGGTACCATTTTGTTCTTATTAAAGTGGGTAAGTAAGTATTCGTTTGTCCAACGAAACCAAAACTTATCGACCAATCTTTGAGCTGCGCGCCAACTGCATATCAAATTAACGTCTCATTTGTTTCTGTGTAATTTAAGATGGCCCAATAAGGAAATGATTGGGTGTTAAAGCCACTGGATCAAGGGATAATGTTTTTGTTAATTTTATAAAAGTCGGCCGCTCCTATTTCTAGATTTTGAAACCAAATTTCCCTTTCAAGGTTTGTTGGAAACCTGCATAAAAATAAATGATTAATTATGAACTGTATAACAAATAGTACATCATATGGTTTGTCTTTTGAAATATTTCTTCTTTCTTTAATTAGGTAACTTAATGTACCTAAACTAATATTTTCTTGAATATAAAAATATCACAATGGTACCGCCTATTAGTACAAGATCCGTGAACTAATTTTTGCAGTGATCTGTTTTTTAATGAAACTTAATTTAAATGAATGGCTGATAACTGTATAATACATTGCTGTCGGTGCCTATCAAATTTTAACAGAAATTACCGTTAATTAAATAAATTGTAATTAATTTATTTTAGAAAATTCCAGCAATATGATTTTAATGAATTAAACGCTATTTGAAAGAAAATTATGTGCAAAATAAAAAAAAATGAATAATACTCAAAGCCAAAATCACATAAAATACCCTTCAGAAAACAACTACTCATTGGCTAATACCGCAACAGGTATTGAATTATATCCGAAGGAAAGACAGCAGAGATAGAAATTTAATTTCAACACTCTCTACCTTTGATTTTGCTCACTAAGGAGAACATCATTCTTAAACCGGTTTCGTCCTTATTAGGACTCTTCAGCAAGAAATAGATATGTTCTCAATTCCAGTCTCGAATGGAATTGAGAGAGCTGGCAACCATTTTTTACATTTTTCACATCATTTTCTTTCAAATAGCGTTTAATTAATTCAAAAAACATATTGCAGGAATTTACTAAAATAAATTAATTACATGATTTTTGTTTACTTACCTATGAATTGTGGAACTTCTCCAAATGTATGTTTTAGAGCAAATAAAACATTATTTAATAGGTATTTTTGCACTTAAAACTAATTAAATCTGTTATAAATAGAAACCCTAAACACTTTAAAAGATAAAGTCACAAGAAATTTATAAACAAAACTGATAGTGTCCGACCAAAGATTTTGGCCAATAACGGCTTTAAATAATAAGAGTTTCGGCTGTAGTTTCGGTTACAGCGGAAAACAGGCTGAAACCGAAACTATTTTCGTGAGTTTCCGCATGACGCTCGGTGGCGTCCGGCACAATGGTGCCCGTGCCGAGTACCATTCCTACACAGTTTGTATGTACGTTCATATACAAACTTCTTTGCTATGCTTCTGGTCAAATTTATTCGGATCGGAGGAGCAATTTATTAGGAAAAATTATTATTTCTAGCCTACAAAATTAGACTGTTTATAGTATAGTAGATTTACACAAAAAATTGGCCAAAGGTGGAACTAATTACAAAGACGGGGTTTGATTTTTTGAGCTCATTACTCATAACCTTTGAACATACTAAAAGTCTAGAAAAATGTGAGTTTGCGAAATGCGTTTTTTGTCCGCCACTTTTTTTTTTAATTCATGAAAAATCGTGTGTGGTATCGAATAATGGGAAATTTTATGCTTAAAAAGATTATGATAATGAGCAAAAAAAAAAAATAATAAAGTGGTGGGCGAAAAATAGGAAGCTTATCTAGAAAATTTTATTTTTAATAATCAAAAGGCTGTATAAAAAATGCAAAAATTAAGTCTAATAGTCTTCTTCATTATTTTCAACACGTTCTTTCGAGGCACTATTTGTACAATCGCGACCAGAACAGTTGCAGCATATCTCAGTACATTCCACACCATACCGTCGACAAGTACATCTACCGCTACCATACCGCTCATTTGTATCCGTTTTGCAGGTGCAGCGGATTGTATTTAGTAATAATTATTCTGGTGCAGGGCACATTTCGCATATTATGGGTTGTAGTTGGTCTCCTACTTTTTTCCAACCCCACTCTTCGGGGTTGGCAATATTGGTGTTCATAGCTTTCCAATAGACCTTTTCATCGTGTGAAAGTTTCGTATTGTTTTGATCGACAATGGCTGGGAAAACAATATTATCTTTACAGAAAAATTAATCATTAGAAAAAATCGTTGATGGTAATTAACTTTTTTATGACTCTGTGGAAGCGCATAGTTGTGAGCAGTTAAAAATGTGGTTGGGCGTTTGCTACAAAGGAAAAAGGTGGACTGATTGAGAGGTTAGGTGTATCAATACTTCTTAACTGTGTAAAAAATTAATGAAAACAAATAATAATTATAACTCTATTCTAATTAATAATGCCAAACAACTATTAGTACTTGTAAAACACTTTAATTAATATGAAAGTTAATCACGAGTATACCTAATAAAATAAATTATTTAATATTTTGAGGATCAACATGACATTTTACTGTGTATACCGAAGTAGTATTTAATATTAAAAAAATATTGTTTAATACCAGATAAGAATTTTCTTGTTAGACCACTATCTCCATGAAAATGTAGTGAACAAATATAAGTATCTAGCTTTAGTAACATCATCAAACCATCGAAAACCGTTATCACTTCGACCACATTTTTTTCACACCTAATGCACATTTTGAACATGTTTTAATATGGATTTTGCCTAATAATTTAATAATATTTTACGATATTGCAGCCAAGGCTTTGGAAAATTTATAACATAATATGTGTATTGCCTTTGAATGATTTATACCGTGTGTCACTTTTACTTACTCCATAACAACACCGTTTCGTTGTTCCTTTCCATACAGATAAAATAATTATAATTGATTGCAAAAATTTATTTTTTAATTAAGACACTAAACTTATTATTACTTTGCTTTTTCTTTCTTTTTTTAAATGAATATACTTAAATTAATATTTTTCGATCATAATTTTTTCACGTTGTAGGCATTTAACATGCTTCTTTACAAAAACAGTACAAAAAAAATGGCTGATACTGACGCATGCGCACAAATAAAATTGTGATGAAAAGGTCTATAAAGGCATTGTAAATGTACGCGAACGAGGTGCTGAACAGCAGCATCTTCAGTTGGTGATAAAAATGATGGCAACAACTTTTTATTTTCCTGTTCAGATGCAATCTCTGATGACAAGGGATAGTGCTCCGTTGTAGTTGATAATAGTTTGATTTCCGTTTTGATCAGTTTTGCTGCTGCTTCAATCAGATGATATTTCTCTGATTCAGGGTCTTCTAATTTTTTCTTCTTCTGGTAATCCAAAATAATATCAGCCACTGTTTTACCCATAGTTATCATATTAGGCAATCCATACTTCGAGGAAACGATGATATTCCCAAAAAAATGTTCTTTAAGTTTTTGCAGCATGTGGCGTTCACTATATGGTTCATTACCAACTGGTAGAAAGTCTTTCATTTTAGTAACCAGCTGCTGGGCACAAACCGGCTCATCATTTTATTTAAACCACTTATATACTTCCAAAAAAGCATCTAGCTTGTCTTTCTCCATAGGACGACCAAGAGGTTTGTGACGTAATTCGTCTTTGGAATTATCTTGGTACTTTTTTGGGATCAGGTCACCTTTTCGAAAATTTACACTGCATGCCTGGTGGTAAATGGCATCTGCTGCTGGCAAGTCATTAACTAATAGCAAACGGGATTGAACCTTTTCTGACCATAAATCATTTATGGAGTTACACGCCTTCATAACTGATTTTTGAAACATTACTGTACGGACCTGTATAATCCCAGATTTATCCCGTTTCTCACGATCAGTAACAAAGCGACCACAAAATAAACATTGTTCTGTGAATAAAAATGTTGGTATATTCGACCGGATTACTCGCCTGCAACTACCTTGTGCTTCATCCTTAGTGGATAACTTGAATTTTGCATCATTCTGGATATTATTAGGATTTGTATATACACGGCGGCATTCAACATGGACTCTCACGGGGTCATCAGGAAATGGTTCAAATAACTCATGGATATTGTCTTTTCGAATTTTACTTATAATTCCTTGTATACCTTTGGCAGATAACTTAACGAACTTTGAAGTTTCGCCTTCTTTTTCAGAGCACCAGATATATTTTATATCTGCCATGTTAATTTTCTTAGGATTTGTCACAACTTGGGAAAGTCACCTAAAAAAAAGGAATTTACATATTTTTATATACCGTATAGACTTAGTTTTTTCCATATTATTTTGTTCTTTTTCAGCATAAAATTTCCCGTTATTTGATACCACACACGATTTTTCATGAATTTTGAAATGAAATTCAAAATGGCGGCCAAAAAACGCATTTCGCACACTCACATTTTTCTAGACTTTTAGTATGTTGAAAGGATATGAGTAATGAGCTCAAAAATTCAAACCTCGTCTTTGTGGGAATTAGTTCCACCCTAAACCCTACTTCGACTATACTATTAATTGAGAAAATTAGTTTAATTATTAGTAACAAACATATTTTATCAGCAGTATTTTTTTTTTTTTTAATAAAAACTTAAATGTTTATTTTTAATAGTTTTTTAGCTCCATAACTACGGTAATTATAATACCTATTATAATATTATTTGTTGCTACAACAAATCCAGTACATATGTAGTAACGATTTCTACTGTGTAATTCCCTTAGCTTTTTTTATTTCAAAAAGTAATAAAAAATAAAACTATGTCGATAAATTAATGGCTTTTTTTATCACATAAATAAATAGGTAATAAGTAAGTGTAGCTAAAATTTACAATACGAGTTAATTGTCTAAAACTAGGATTACAATAAGATATTGCAAATTTCAATAAGAAATAGTCTTAAAAGAAAGTTTCTGTTTCGGTCGGACACTAAAAACTGACAATTCCGAAGTGCTTATTTACATTTTTGACTAAATTTGCCGCTGCAATTAAAAAATAGACGAATCACATCGCTTCAGAAGAGAGAGAAAGTAATAGGACTGATATATCTTGCCTTCAAACAAACCCGGACCTTTATCTGTATTTCTTTTGTTTATCTGAGTACCTTACTGATTCAATAGAGGCCTAAACTATTGACATCTTGATTTATACGCTCTATTGGTGTCACGTAATTTATGTTCTACTGACAGTTAATTGTTAATAAGAACAAGCCATTCTGTCATTGAATTTGACATATATGTTTTTAATATTGTTTGCAGGCCATAAAAAAGTAATTTAATGTTATGTAATTTTTGATGTTTAAATGAATGCAATCTTGAAATTAATAGAAATAAAATGTTAATGTATATTTATAACCTTTATTTTTAACCGACTTCGAAAAAGGAGGAGGTTCTCAATTTGTCGCACTATTTTTTTATGTATGTATGTTCAGCGATAATTTTTTACTTAGTTGTCCGATTTCTATGATTCTTTTTTTGTTAGGGGGAAGTTCCGTATACAATTGGTCATAGATTATCAGCTATGAGAAAATCAAAAATCTCATTTTTTAAGGGCATCTGCACGATTTTGAAGTCATTTTTTTAAATAAATTATAATTCTGTTATTTTCAGTGGAACACAAATTACGTCATCCCAGCTTACTTGTGATGTTAAATTAGTAGCCGAGCTAAGTAGTAGGTACTCTATGTCAGTTCTAGTTATTGCAGATCCGGTGCAACAATAAGTGCCTAAATATATTTGTACAGGGGAAGTATTTAAAAGTTTTTCTGAAAGGTATTAAAAGTAAATGATGTAATATTGGTTCATTTATTGTATATGTTATATTCACGACATTGCTACACCGGACGCAGAAGCAGATTACATCTATAAAGGAGTTCAGTAAAAGTGGAGATATAACGTCACATTGCAAAGGCGTACTTTGCAACAAATGTTTCTATAATACAAATAAGATTACGGCATATTAAATGGGCATATACGCACTTCGTAGATTAAATTTTGAATGAAAAAAGTTATATTATTTACAAAAAATAAAAACCAAATTGTTGCACTTTAACATTGAACGAATTAAACTTAACCAATAAATAACAATATGTTGCCAAGAGATTAAACTTTTTTTAATCTCTTGGCATTAAAAGTAACATAGAGTGTATCTAAAAATCAACGATTAAAAAAAATAGAAAGTTCAAGAACTATCTTTAAAAGTCACTGTCTTAAATGCTAAAAATTACTAAAAGTAACATGAAGTGTACCAAAAAATCAACGATTCCACATTGAATTTTCCTACCTTAAAAACAGATAGTCTCATACAAACTTTCACCCCCCCCCCCCCGTTCCATTCCCTTAAAATGTAAAAATCCAAAAGCCATGAAATATGTCTATTTATTTATGATGAGTAGCTACAATTCTAATTCTGAAGTTTTTTAAAAAAATTGATACTCCCTTACAAACTTACACCCCCTTTTCCCAAGAAACATCCAAAAGTGAGGCTATTTTCCATTTCTGGTGTATTTTTTTAAGTGTAGGAATTTAATTTCGAAAGAAAATAATGTACCATTTGCCTTATTACATTCTTTACCCAAGTTTCAATAAAGGTCTCTTTTCTTCCTGGACGCTTTTTCCGATATGAGACTTCTCCAATAAAAGTATCTTCTTTAATAATTCTATACAGTGTCCGCTTAGATACTCTAGTATAGGTCTCACATTTAGTTACTATTTCATCCACAGAGAATAAAACAGTCTTTTCGAAGATTATTAAATACATTAAGTGCAATAGTTTTTTCTTCTAAAGATAATGCTTTGTGTCCACTATGTCGTTTGTGCGTATTTGTGCTTGCAATAGTTTCTAATGCACTTGCCATTCTTATAAAACTGTAAAATTATAATATAATATACCAATACAAAATTCCAAATCAATTAAAATACTACTATGAATAAATAAAGTCTGACTTATCTGTCAGAAGAAAATGTTTATTACAGTAAAAACCATGGAAACATGATTAAATCTAAACTTTTATTAGGTCGATCAGATTTATTACAATTTTCATTTTAACTACAAATATGTATTGAAGGATGAGGTATAAATAAAAGATCTACCTCTTGAACCTGTACTACGTTTTGCAGATTCAATTACTGCACTCCTTTCTTCTCTAGCTCTCTTATAACTGTCACAACCTGTAATAGAATTAGTTCTTTCTGCCACTAATTTCAATACGCTATGTTGCCAAGCGGTTTACGTTTACTGTATAATTTTAGGGAAAAAGTTTTTTTAACGAACCGATGAAATACGACGTTTTTGGAGATTCACTTCTAGAATTGAATGTCACTGGACTGCAACCGGATACCATGTACTCCATCCAAGTAGCAGCGCTTACCAGAAAGGGGGACGGTGACAGAAGTACTCCTGTAAACGTTCGCACACCTGGCGGTGTTCCAAATAGACCAGCGCTAACGCTAAAGTGAGTTCTTCAACGACAACATTCTATTTGCATTAACGTTACTGTACACCAAAGTTTATTAATATTTATGTGCCTTTTTAGAATAATTGAACGAGAACCTACGGTCACTATTGAATTGGAGTGGTCTAGACCATCCCAAACGTATGGAGAATTAAAAGGGTACAGGTTGCGATATGGAGTGAAAGAACAATTGTTAAAGGACGTTCCTCTTAAAGGTATTTTTTTGTGATTCATCCTTTATAGTGTTCTATATTTTAATGAAAAATGTGCTTACTTTATCTCTTGTTCCAGGAACCCACACCAGTTATCGTATTAACGATCTCGAAAGAGGTGTTGATTACGAATTTAGAGTAGCTGGTCAAAATCACATAGGCATAGGTCAGGAAGCCATTAAGTACATGAAAACCCCGGAAGGTCCACCTACCGGTCCTCCGACCAATATTACATCTCATTTCCAAACCCCGGACGTCGTATGCATTTCTTGGAACCCTCCTAGCAGGGAGCATCGTAATGGTCAAATTATAAAATACGACATTCAATTTCACAAGAAATCCGACCACAGCAATATAATAACCCGCAACGTTTCCAATACCAAAGCCGTGTTTACAAATTTAGAAGAAAATACCGAATACGCTTTCCATATTAAAGCGTATACGAGTCAAGGAGCTGGTCCGAATAGCGAGAAATATTCCGTACAAACCGAAAGAGACATCGGAAGAGCGCCGATGTCTGTAAAAGCCGTGGCCACTTCAGATTCCAGCGTCGAAGTATGGTGGGAACCGGTACCCTCCAGGAACAAAGTCATAGGATACAAAATATTCTACACTATGACAGCCGTCGAGGACTTAGACGAATGGCAGCAAAAAACCGTCGGCCTCACCGAATCAGCCGATTTAGTCAATCTAGAAAAGTACGCTCAATACGCCATAGCCGTGGCAGCTAGAATGAAGAATGGTCTCGGTAGATTATCCGAAAAGGAATTAGTGAAAGTTAAACCCGAAGACGTACCATTGAATTTACGAGCGCACGAAGTTACCACGCATTCGATGACGTTATCTTGGTCACCACCCATCAGGCTGAATCCCATCAAGTACAAAATATCCTTCGACGCGATCAAAGAGTTCGTCGATTCCCAGGGAATCACCCAAACGCAAAACATACCCCGAGTCGAAATAAAATTAGATTCTGACGTTAGATCGCACACCATTAACGAGCTATCGCCGTTTACCACGTACAACGTAAACGTCAGCGCGATACCCACGGATAATTCCTATCGACCGCCTACCAAGATAACCGTAACGACACAAATGGCGGCGCCGCAACCCATGGTCAAACCGGATTTCTACGGCGTAGTGAACGGCGAAGAAATCCACGTTATTCTACCGCAAGCTTCGGAAGAGTACGGTCCAATCAGCCACTATTATCTAATCGTTGTTCCCGAAAACAAGATGACAATCCAGAAAAACCCCGACCAATTTTTAACTGACGAACTAATCGGCAACATCGATAAGATTCCCGATAATTCCGATCTTCCTTATATAGCCGCTAAATTTCCTCAAAGGAATATTCCTTACACTTATCATTTAGGTACCGGCGAAAGTAACGATGGGTACGTCAATTACAAGTTAGAGCACGGAAAGCGCTACAGGATATTCGTAAGGTGAGTAATTTCGACAGTCATTTATCATGTTTAATTTCCCGATCACAAATTTTCAACCTTCCGGTCATACAAGTACGCAGGTGCAACGTTAAATTTTATCGGTAAACCTTCTGTACTTTCATTAGCTTATCTTATCTGGGAAGTTTAAGTACCTGGTTTGTTCATAACCGATAGCAAATATAAGTTAAAAGCACTCTTTTATCTTTTAAAATTTACATTGCTCAATTATCCATACTGCTAGCCAGTATCTTATCTATCTGCAGATTTCTTAAGTTATGCTCTCGCTCTATTGCTCTTCTGCTTCTCCCTCAGTTTTCTCGTTCCACTTGTCAACCAATACTTCCTCTGTTCGTCCTTAGTTCTCGTCCAGCTACTCGATGCTGCCTCTGGTTCAATTTAAATGAAGTTTTCTTTACTTTTGGTTTAAAATTATTTTATTAATCTTTATCCGTTATTACATATACAGCTTCTAACAATAATCCTTCAACATTACATTCGATCTTCCTCCTGACTCTTCTATATTTTTAACTCACAACCAATTCAATAAAAAAAATATTCTCATGCAAACAATATTGATTTAGTCATTAATGGAAAAATAAAACTGAATACTTCCCACATTAATAAACATTTTATACAGCATTCATAACATTTACAGTTTTATGTTAATTAAAGGCCGATTATCAATAGGCGCACAGGTCACACTAAGCTGACGATCCGCTCACAATCAAAGATATGAAGTAGTATTCACATATTACACTTAACTGGCGCTCATTTCCTTCAATATTATATTTTTTAATACCATGTCTAAAGTATAACTTATCACCCAGGTTGTACAATTCTTTGGTATTCCGAACTAATTCAATTAGTTGTTCATCCAACTTGCTGTTAACACAAGAATAGAAAAAATAATCGTTGTTTAATTGTTGCTTGTACATACTGACGCAAAGGTTCACTCACGGTTCGATCAAAATATCCGCACGGAGAAAGATCGCGGTCAAAGATCATGAGCGAAACGCCAAATATGAATATTTTTATTTAAATAGCGTGTCACAATATTTCATCTTTCCTTGAGTGGAGCGTAAGCGGAGCGTAAGCGGAGCGTAACCTGAACTAAAGTGAGAATCGGCCTTTACATGAAAGAAAAAAATTAGCGGGACTTCTGCTCTTGCAAAATAGGTGTCAAATAATTTTTATTTTTGTTACTTTTAACAGAACGGATGGAATTATCTGATAAACTGTTTCTAAGCTAGTTTTTAATGTTATTAATTTATAAAAATAATGACCCACGGGCCTATGTTGATGAAAATATTGTCAAGATAGCAAATGCCAGCTTCTTTAGATAGCTGTATTTACCTAGAATTGAATTAAACGTGTCCATACTTTTAGTATTTTCCTGTCCAAAGTATTTTATCGCGAGTCATTGATTCGCCGCCCCTGCCCTAGTAGATATGATATTTATCGGACCCCTCCCTCCTCCAACTCGAGGTATCCGTGGTTAAATACCCAATTATTACTAGGACAATTGGACCCTGAGACATATGAACCTGGCCCTTTTGATGACCAGTAGTTTCATATGTTTCACTAGGCGCCCAACGTGGGGCCTAATGAAACAAAAAGTAACCGCATTATTTATTTATTTAAGAGCTGTGGTGGACACCCCGCAGAAGCACCTATACACCAGCAGTCCGTTCTCCCAATTTCTATCACTGGATATGCGCGAAGTGCCACCCGGAGATCCACCGCGCAGACCTAACCCCAACACCGACATCGTCAACGACGTTAAGGTTAGCTCGCAAGAGAAAGAAGCGGAAGTATTCAAAATCATCGGACCAATAATAGCAGCGCTGGTGCTGTCAGCGTTGCTCGTAGTATTATTCGTAATCAGGAAGAGGAGACAGCCTTGTAAGACTCCCGATCAGACCGCTGTGACCCGGCCTCTGATCCAACCAGATTTGAACGCTAGCATCGCTCCTAGTGATCCGGTTGAGATGCGTAGATTGAACTTCCAGACGCCGGCGATGATTTCCCATCCGCCTATACACATTACCGATCTGGCTAATCAAATCGAACGACTCAAAGGAAATGATAATATTAAATTCGCTCAAGAGTATGAGAGCATAGAGCCGGGGCAGACGTTCACGTGGGACCATTCCAATATGGAGGTTAACAAGCCGAAAAATCGCTACGCGAACGTTATCGCTTACGATCACAGTAGGGTGATTTTACCCAGCGAAGGTGGCGTTTTGGGTACCGACTACATTAACGCGAACTACTGCGATGGGTACAGGAAACACAACGCTTACGTCGCCACTCAGGGACCTTTACCGGAAACGTTCGCAGATTTTTGGCGTATGAGCTGGGAACTGAAATCCTCTGTCATAGTTATGATGACCAAACTGGAAGAGCGTACTAGGATCAAGTGCGATCAATATTGGCCGACTCGCGGTACCGAAACTTATGGCAGCATGAACGTGACGACCACTGAAGTACAAGAATTGGCTACGTATTCGATTAGAACTTTCCAGATCCATAAGGAGGGTCATACGGACAGAAGAGAAATCAAGCAGTTGCAGTTTACTGCCTGGCCGGATCACGGAGTGCCGGATCATCCAGCGCCGTTTTTGCAGTTTTTGAGGAGAGTAAGGAGTCTGAATCCTCCAGATGCTGGACCGATTATTGTGCATTGTTCGGCCGGAGTGGGTAGAACAGGTAAGAATTATACTATAAAACGTCCAGAAGAAAGTTTCACAATTGTATATGCTTCTTCAATGTCAACTTATTGTTTAAATTTTTGTATAGAAATTTTATTGTGCCAGTACATTCATTTAATATGACTTGTATCTATAATAGTTCTTAAATTAGAGTAGACAGTTTTTATGTATTCAGACAAGTATAATGTTTTTTTTTTTGAGTTTATTCATATCCAGAGAAAAACAATACCCCTTTATAAACTACATGCCGCTAGTCTTTCGTCGGTTAGCACTATGGTTCGTAGGTTGAATGTATACTAAAGTGCAGATTAAATTTTATAAGTTAAAATTGAGATAAAACTGAATTTAAAAGAACCCTTCGAGCGTATGCTGGCGAGAGTCAGAATCTCATGAGTTAATCTTCTACAAATTCGACTGTTGTACCTATCTGCTTCGGTAGTCCAATTGATAGAGGCGCCGAGGGCTAACTCAAATATATCAGCCATCAGCTTCATCAAATTTAAAAACACATTTTTCCCTAGCTCAAGATATTGGACAATAATAATATATCTTAATACGGCTTCTTAGGAGATCTAGAATAATGTAGTCTCTGTACACATATTCTTTGGTAAGCTAAACTATGGAAAAAAATCAAAAATCCCAAGTAACATAGACATACTTATACCATTTTATAAATTTAACCTATTTATACAAAAAAAATTAAATTTAACAAACCTCAGCAGTTCTTAACTCATAATATTACAAACTGTACTTAATAAGTACCTTACAAAAAAAATGGACGACTTTACCAGTCCGCCAGGCATCTATCAGGGCTGTCTGCTCGATCCAAACCAAACCTAGTACCCGGTGCACAGATGGGATCGCGTCTTAGCGTTGGTTAGGCTTAAAACAAGAGAAAAGGGGTCGTTTCTTGGTGTGGAACATGAAGCAGGTACCAGAAATACTCGCTGCCACCTGGGTAATGCCGGCACCTAGCTACAAATGCCCTCAATACATTTGGTGATAAATTTTAATCGTCAAAAATGGTTAATCAATATAATAGTGCCTTAAGCCTTTGTGGAGATAGAAATAATTTCTAACTTCACATACAAATGGCTAATATGACCATGCGTTTGGCAACTATACTACTTTAACTGTACTACTTATGCTAATTCAGGTATCTTTCACAAATCTAATATACAAATTATATCCAATTATATTTTATCAAAATGAGTCAGTAGTAATATGTACTTACCTTGAATCAGATCAGAAGCCAAGCTGAAACAAAAAATATATGAAAGGTTCTCAATCTAGTAAATAAATACTAGAACGACTTTTCCTTTGCGTCGAACATTAAAGAATGATAATACTTCCAAGTTCTTGGATCATTCTTACGTGGCCTTGTCTACTAAAAACCATCTGGCCTTTACACTAGAGATAAGCGATGCAAGAAATCAATTACTAAATCACCTGGCTGCATACAGATAGGTTCATTATTTTACTTATTACCTCAGTATTATGTAATCCAATGTTTTGTTGAGCATATATCCTTGGATGTAGTTTGTGTTATAAAGCAGCCAAACATTTTTCCGAGTTAAAATCGGAACGGGAGGCATTGCAATCAACTTTTATTTTTGATCTATTTGCCTTCCATTTGAGACCGCCGTCGGTCGCCTCATTTATAGTTTTAGTTTAACTTTTTAATAGCTTCCTAATTAACACCGAACTTTCATTAGGGCATTTAAGTGAAGATAGCGTGACTGTTCGCACTTTATGTAGGTTGTAATAATCTTTCATGTATGGTTCGAATAGTCAAATTATTTTCAGAGTTGATTAGAGATTCTATTCGAGCTGACCACTTCTCACCTGATGAGCCCCAAATAGGGCGAAACCGGTCGTGGAATGTTGGCTCCTTAAATTCCAAATCAAAGGGTTTGTTGAATCGATAAAGTCGGTCGCGAACACGTTTTATTAACTCTGTGGTCCAATGCCCTATTGAGCATATAGACCTAGAAGTAATTTATTTGTGTTATTATAAAGCAGCCGGACATTTTCCTGAGTTAAAATAGAGACGTGGGGTATGGCAATCGCCGTCTATTTTTGTTTTTTATATGTACAACAGACTACCACATTAATCCTTAAGGGTTAGCATTTTAGTTTTTCCATATCTAGATACAAATAGTTGGCATTGCACCTAGCTGTGATTTTCTTAATATCACAAGATAATATGTTATAAAGTACGCAGGTGTCATGGTTGTACCATATAATCGTAATGGCATCAGCAAATAGAGTGAAAGTACCTGCAATGTTAAGTCGAGCTAAGTATTGTAATTGCTCCTTCAGGTAAAATAATTCGGTAATTACTACAGCTCATACAAATAAAAGCTTTCAGTCTATTGTTATTCCTTCTGGTCGTATATTAATTACAATTATAATAAAATTAATTGCTCCTAAAATTGAAGAGATTCCTTCTAAATGTAGGCTAAACATAGTGCCGCGTTTAGGGTTACCTATGAGTTTCCTAAACGAGCTGAGGGATTAATTGTAATAAAACATAATACTGATTAATTCATATATTCACAAAATAAATTATTAATATTATTATTATTATTATTAAAAGACAATCTTCATTGATTAATAGTATGACCAAAAGATATACATTCACTAGGTATTTCCCATTTTGAGAGGGATGGTACTCGTGAGGCTCTTCAAAACCAAGTGATTATTTAATTTTAATATTTTATAATAAACTTTTTCTTGGTCAGATAATTTTGTTGGACCGCTTTTACTGCTGACTTTGCAAGTTCAACGAATTTCCATAAAAGTATCAATTGATTAAGAAACCTGAATTTTTACTTTGTCTTTAGAAATGATATATTTAAATAAACTAAACTTGAATGAGATAAATGAAAATAATATAATTTTATGAGATGTTTTTTTACTAAATGAATATATCTTTATCTATTTTACCTAAAGTACATGGACCCCAAATATATTATTTGAAAACAGGGAAAGAACGTGCAAAGTCAATTTTTTCCTATTTTTGACTAACACTGGTAAATAGTGAGTAAATACCCTTAGTTTCGCATAAATGTCCCCGTTAAAAACGCTTGGTGTCAGGAGATATTTGCATTGAAAATTTCTTTATACAGGGAAAAAACGTGTATAGTCAGTGCGTTACAGGGAAGGAACGTATACTAATAAATTGCGTGAGTTGTTTTAGTTTTATCGAGGAGGGTGTAGCTATTGTTTTAACCAAAAACGTAAAAAAACTGGGCGTATGTCTGAAGTTTCTAATTACAAATCCAAGAAACAGGTTCAGATTGTGAGTGTAAGCGTTTTAAGTGCTTCCAAAAGAAAAACAATTCTTCATAAATAATATACAATCGTGGAATAAACAAAGTGCCTTTTTATCAATTTTAATTACAATAACACCCGTAAACCAAAGACGAAACCGTCACTGACGAACAAAATAGTAATTTTCGTTAAGCATCCTACTATTACAAGGTAAGGAATTTTGCAGGTGATTCAAGGGTAGACGTTCTTTTTTGCTTAAAAGCTTTCTGTTCAATATAATTATGGCATTACAAAAAGACGTTTTCAGACAATGCATCAATCACTTAAAAGGAATGGCAGACCAGAGAGGCCAACACTCGTCAAAACAGAAAACTTTCAAAAGATCGTTAAACTGTTGTTTGTAATCATTTAAAAGTATATCCAGTCATTACAGTAAAGGCAATACTTACCTGATGACCTAATTTATAAAAAAAACATGACATGTACAAGGAGAAAATTTCAGATAAACCAGTATCAAATGAAACTTATCGTACTATATTTTGCACACATTTTAACATAAGCTTTGAGTATCGTCGTTCCGATACGTGCAGTAGCTGTGATAAAATTATAGTATTAATTAAACCAATAGACTTTAAGCTTTTAAGAAACTTAAATAGAAAAAGAGACTAAAGAAAAAGAAGACGCAACGTTTAACAATATTAAATAATGTTCATAAAAAAACCTGACGTATTTTATAGTAGAAAAAGGGCTGCTAGAAAAGCTTGTAGGACGACAGTGACAGATGAAGTTGTTTGCATGGACTTTCAAAGAAATATTTCAGTGCCTAATATAAGCACCAACGTTGTATATTCTAAAAGGCAACTCTCATTCTTCTCTTTCAACATTCACAAATTATCTGTTGGCTGCTAAGATTTCTGCAATGACCTGGACCAAGACTACGTCTAAAGCTACAACCAAGACCTTGTTCAAACTATCGGCCAAAACTTTGTCTAAGGCCTGGACGAAGACCTCGACCAAGACTCCCACCTAAACTAAAAAACAATGAAAAAACGAAACTAGAAGATAGCTAACTACCATTTGTGCTTCAATAATACAAGAAATTTACTGAGTTATATCATTTTTTGTTCCTGTACTTTATGTATTTTTGTTATTATATAAATAAATTTAGGTACAAAGGAAAAAGTTTTAAACTTATTTTAAATATATGACAACAATCTTCTGATCTCATATTTTGTATAACAATCAAAATGTCTTTGTCCGATTTCAACTCGTTTGGTTTCAAAGTTTAAAATCGCGATGTCTCAAAACTAGTTAAAATAGACATTGCACGTTTTTTCCATGTTGTCTTCATTTGACAATAGCAAGAGGAGGGTAAACTGTCCATTCTGTACCAGACCCTCTTTCAACTAGTCTTATTACTCTTATTAATAATGTATATAAAGAAGGAATACAATTTGACCTGACATAGAACCCAGAGGGACTTCTCAAGCTTTATCTAATACTTACGAGTCCTTAGTACGTTAGTCCTTAGTACGTTTTGAAAGATAAGATTTTTTCCCAATTTGATTCCATGAACTCGAAATTTTTGCAAGATTTTTTTATATGCATGGGTGCATGTATCGAATAAAATAAAGCAATCCTTATACAGATTTGTATTTAGGTTGCTTCATAGTGATCGACTCGATGTTAGAACGTCTGCGCCATGAAAAAACTGTCGACATCTACGGCCATGTGACCTGTCTACGCGCCCAGCGCAACTACATGGTCCAAACTGAAGACCAGTACATTTTCATCCACGATTCCTTAATGGAGGCGTACATTTGCGGCCTGACTGAGGTCCCGGCCAGAAATCTACACTCGCATATCCAGAAATTGATGCAGCTCGAACCGGGCGAGAACATATCCGGCATGGAACACGAATTCAAGAAACTGAGCAACATTAAGACTGATTCTACACGCTTCGCCACGGCGAACCTGCCTTGTAATAAGCACAAAAACCGTTTGGTACATATCTTGCCGTTCGAGAGCACTAGGGTGTGCTTGACGCCGCTAAGGAATATAGAGGGTTCCGATTATATCAATGCCAGCTTTATCGATGGCTATCGATATAGAAAAGCGTATATCGCTACTCAAGGCCCCATGGCCGATACGACTGATGATCTTTGGAGAATGTTGTGGGAGCACAATTCCACCATTGTCGTTATGTTGACGAAACTCAAGGAAATGGGAAGGGTATGTATTAATTTTCATACCTACTTTTGTGCTACTTTCAGATTTTAAAAAGTTATTCTTATACATGGTTTTTTTTTTGGGTTTAGGAGAAATGCCATCAGTATTGGCCCAGCGAACGTTCCGTCAGATACCAATGCTTCGTCGTCGATCCGATAGCCGAATACAATATGCCCCAATACATTCTAAGAGAATTCAAAGTGACTGATGCCAGAGACGGTTCGTCTAGAACAATAAGGCAGTTTCAATTCACCGATTGGCCCGAACAAGGCGTTCCAAAATCCGGAGATGGATTCATCGACTTTATTGGTCAGGTCCATAAGACTAAGGAACAGTTTGGGCAAGACGGTCCAATCACTGTACACTGCAGGTTCGTTATTGATAATAACATGAAACATGTTGTTAAAATTTTTGTAATTAATTAATAATGTTTTTTTTGTAGTGCTGGCGTTGGCAGAACTGGAGTGTTTATTACTTTAAGCATCGTCCTAGAAAGAATGCAATATGAAGGAGTCGTGGATGTATTCCAAACGGCTAGGATATTGAGAACCCAACGACCAGCCATGGTACAAACGGAGGTAATTATAATCCTGTTTTTAACAAATATATATCAAAATAAGATAAAAAGTATTCAGAAACAAAGTTTGGATAATATATGAAATAAAAACCGAACATATCGTAAAACGTTTAAAAATGGCCACAAATATTTGTGCTCTTCATTTATAAATAAATCCTCTCTGGTGTGAAAATTAGGTAAAAAATCAAATAACAGTGCCTAAAATGCCCCATTTATTTATCCTCTTCACTTCTGAAATACGTGAAATATTAAAAAACACTTAGATAAATCAATATGTTTGTAGGTACCAAAAAATGTATCACCGTATCACATCATTCAAAATTAAAAAAAAAAAAATTAAAAAAATAAATAAAATAAAAATTTAACACATTGTAAAAAAATAACATAAACCCTTAGACCTTTCAAATTGTACTATTATGATATGAAAGTAAAATTTAGTGTAAGAAATTAATATAAAAACGCTTAAATCAAGCTAAAAATGCTTAGATAAATCAATGTTTTGTACAAAAAATGTATCATCCTAAATAATAAAAAAATTGCAGAGAAAATAATAAATTCAAAAATATCAAAAGGACCAGGCAGCAGAGGAATTTCCTGAATTTTTGACCCTTTTTTTAAAAATCTGATGTGTCCAACACATGACTTTCCTATCTAGTTAATATAGGCATTTTCCGGTTATTTTGTACAACCTATTGTAGCACCTCTACAAATGTTTAGAGAATAAACTAAATATATACATTTTCCACATACATTTAACTCGAAACATTTTTCTACAGATATTCATTCAAAACGAAAATACTGAAAAATTTAAATATAGCACTTTTCCTAAAAATTTTCCATTACGGACAATTTTCGAAAAATCATGTAAAAACAAAAATTATAGAGATCGATATCGCAAACAACTTTTAGTTTAACAATTTTCTTAAAAATCAGAATTTTGCACATTTTGTCAAATTTCTCGAATACGGACCGTTTCAGGAAAATTTTACATAAAACAAAAATTATAGATAATAATATAAGAAGTAACCTTTATTTGAACAATTTTCTTCTCCAAACATAAATAACAGATATACTCCATAAAATATAAAAACGGCTTCCCATATGTTCCCAGATTTTCCGACTTTGTCCAAAATCTAGTAATTTCACGTCAGGCCGAAACAAAACTTTAGTTTAAAATTTAATGTTTTTCCTTCATCCGTTTTTGAGTTTTCTTCAAAATTCTAAATTTACTCATTTTCTCAAATATCTCGAAACGGTCCATTTATAGAGAATTATATTAAAAACAACTTTTATTTGATCAATTTTTATAAAAAATATTTTTGTTTACATTTTGTCAAATTTCTCGAATACGGACCATTTTAGGAAAATTTTGTATAAAACAAAAATTATAGATAATAAGTAACTTTTATTTGAAGAATTTTCTTCTCCAAACGTAAATTATATTCCATAAAATATAAAAATGACCACCAATAAAGTACCCCCCCCCCAAATGTTCCGACTCTGTCCAAAATCTAATCAGTTCACCGCAGGCTGGAATAATAAAGCTTAAGTTTAAAATTTGGTGTTTTTCTTTGTATCGGTTTATGAGTTATGGTGGACACACACACGCACACACAGACACAGAGAGAGAGAGACAGATACATCATCCAGAAAATAGTCAAAACGGATTCACGGGACCTCAAAACATAAAAATCCGTCGAAAACTGTAGGTCGAAAAAAATCATGATTCCTATACTTTCCTTATATCTCTATACAGATAGTAAAGTAAAAAAAGGTCGTGTTTCTTAAAAATCTGCTAGGATTACAGGTATTTTTCGAGAATTATGATTTGCTGATATCAAACAATATTTTCAGTACAACAGGACGTAAATAGAAGTTACAGGGCGAGTCATAAATTACGGAAAAACGAATTTTTAATTGTACTTTAGCTTGATAATATTCTCGAAATTATCACGCTGAAATAGCCTTGGCTTAAATAATCAAAATTAGAGATAATATGATATTCTAAAAAGTTGGTAAACCCTGCATGCTGGTTTTAATAAAATTTTATGTATTTTATATCGCGTATTAATAATATACATTAAACTATTATGAAACATGTATATACAAAATAATAAAAGATATGGAACCAGAAAATCAGGAAAAATGCTTTTTCGCTGGTAAATTGCTTAATTTTTGTACAGTTACTTTATTTTGAGTTTGCTAGTAAAGTGTAAATGTTCAATCAGTCAAAAATACTTTATTGTCGAAGAAGTACATCTTATTGACAAAGCTATAAGACAGGTAACATTTAAAACGACAAAATACATCAAAAAACATGTTTACATATACAGATACTACGTCAATTAAAATATAAAACTATAAAATATATACATAAAAAAAGGTAATATCAAATTTGCATTACATAATTGTGTTTACTGTCATTAAAATAGATATAAAATATATAAAGCTATTAAGGTACAAATAAAGTAAAATACACCCAAATCAGTTATTTAATAAAAAGAAACTTTCATCCATTAAACAGATGGGTGAAGGTCGACCTTACTTACGGATCCTGGACTATAATAAAAGCTCCAGGGATACAGATCTATGTCCCGATACACTAAATAAATTTTGCTGCTCTGTCGCTTCTATATTATCTAGTGATTTATTGTCTACAACTGATCCTATGAGATTTTTAAACTATTTTACTGTTACCCAATCCTTTTATTTCAGCCCCACTGATCTCCAAGAAATCAAAGATACTGTTGCAGTATTAAAAACAAAAAGGCAGCTGTATGGGATGGTATCTCAGCTAAAATATTTATGCTTTTACCTGACAATGTTCTCAGTGTCTGTGCACTATTAGCAATTGTTTAAAATTTGCTAATGTGATACCTATACTTAAGAAAGGGGATTATAATCGGTGTTCTAATTACAGACCCATATCTTTGCTTCTAACCCTGGCCAAAATTGTAGAAAAGTTGGTGAAAACACGTATATTAAATTTGTCCAGTTTCTTTTTGCTTATTACACGAGTTTCTTATTCTTCTTTGATAGTAACTTTCTTTAGCAGCCTTAATAGTTGCCCTGTAGATAGCCCGATAATTTAAGAACCATGTATATGTGTCTGAAAAATATTTTTTTATCAAATGAAGGGAATGCATATGATTCGCTGATACTTTTAAGCATTTAGTAACCCACATCTTATTATTTTTACACTTGACAGTTCTTTTAGGATAAGCGCGATTAAATGACCAGCATAACATTTTGTGAAATTCATTTAGATGGTCAGTTTTATTTAGTACCGATTCCCAGGCTACACCTGAAGCTATTTTAGAAAATTTAACATTGTTTTATTCACTAAAAATTCTTTGTTTGGATAATTGCTGTTTTTCAGTATATTTTTGTAATATATTGCAAAGAACTGCGTCATGATCTGACACGCTTGTATTAATAACATAACATTTTACCTTTTGTGCATCTATATTCGTGCAAATGTAGTCTAGTAAGCTATTGTTTCTTGTGGGTTCTTATGACCAAACTAAAACTATGTAACACGTTTGTCAGTTTGTGTACATTTGGATGAGCATTAGCTATAGTCTAAGGTCCGAAGTAAGGTCGACCTTCACCCATCTGTTTAATGGATGAAAGTTTCTTTTTATTAAATAAAATATGTTTATAAATATACTGCAAAAGGGTTGCCTAAGAAAATACTGTCCAGACTATTTATTTCCCTATAATAAAAAAAAACAACACCCTGTAAAGTATTCCCCAGATGCTTCGACTATGCCCAAACTTTAATCAGCTCACCACAGGATAGATTAAAGTTTAAAATTTGGTGTTTTTCTCTTTATCCGTTTTTGAGTTGTCTTCAAAATTCGAAATTTGCACTTTTCCTCAAATATCTCGAATTAGGTTGATTTTAGGGAAATCATGTATAGGGACAAAATAATGGAGAATGACATCATAAGCAACTTTTATCATGATTTCTATACTTTCCTTATGTGTACATAGAAAGGAAAGCAAAAAATGGCCGTGACCGTATTTTCTTGGGCAACCCATTTGCGGTATATTTAAAAACATTTTATCTAATAAAAAGAAACTTTTATCCATTAAACAGATGGGTGAAGGTCGACCTTACTTACGGATCCTGGACTACTAGATAATTTAAATTAAAATCTCCAGATAAAACTATTGTACCACTTACTGGTAGTTGCTCTAAAATTAATTCTAAACCATTTAATAAATTATGTATATTATAACTGGGAGATCTATAAATGCAAATTAAATATAAATTTAAATATTTGCAGTAAGCAGCTGAGATTTCCAATTCTTTTTCAACGATTAAATTATCAAATTTATTTATTGCAATAAGGGGATTCTATAAAATGTCAGAATTCAAATCGCTCCTCCTGGTTATTAAATTATTAAATTTTGATTATTTAAGCCAAGCCTATTTCAACGCGATATTAATTTGAAGAATATTTTCATGCCAAAATTAAAATCGATTTTCAGTAATTTATTACTGTAATTGACTGTAATTAATACTAATTTTCGACATTTGTTGTGTTGGAAATATTGGTTGATGCCAGTAAAACATTATTTTCGAAAAATATCTGTAATTATAGTAGTTTGTTAAGATGCACTCTCTTTTCTTTTAAATTGGCCAATTTGCAACTTCCAGAGAGAGAGAGAGAGAGAGAGAGAATATGTTTATTGTCAAAAGATACATTATCTTATGGACAAACACATTAAATATATAAATAAATAAAAAGTTAAAAGGCTGAAACAAAATCCAAATAAAACGAAAAAACAATTCAAAAATTACAAAAAATATGTAATTTTTTAAAAGTAGTAGGCTATTTCCTATCCAGTAATGTATGGATCAGCTGAATTATCCTGCCGCTTTTTTGTTATAAATATTTTAAACAGTTTCTTGTTTTTATTAATAATTAATGTAATATTTTTTTTTAGGATCAGTACCAGTTTTGTTACCGAGCCGCACTGGAGTACCTAGGCTCCTTCGATCACTACACTAACTAATCAATATTCTCGTAAGGAAATTCTCCATTTTTTTGACGCGCGTTTATGCATATTGCATATTTTTACTGCCAAATTGGATAATATTAATTTCACAGGAACAAACAAACAAAAAAAATTAGAGCTGTATTTAATTAAACAAGTGATTAGTGAAACAAATCTTAGGACTAGCGTGCAAATGTGTGTAAAATATGTGCCTAATGTATATGTGGAAAAAAAAAGAAATGTCAGAATTTATATTTATTTTGATCACGAGATGTCTAGCAATGTGTCATTTGTAAAAAGATTTTTGAGACGATTATGTGGCTCGTTTGCATTTAATTTGTGTTAATAATAATGATATATATGCATACATGTAATTAGGTACTTAAATTTTGCGACGCTGACGAATTATTTCGTATCGAAAAGGGTTAGCCGCATTAGATTTAAAAATGAGCGGTTTGCAGACTGGTATAAACCGAAGTTCAATGTATACATTCTGGTAGTTCCGCATAATAATTATCGTTCCAAAAAATGTGTTGAGATATCGGAAAAGAATGCTACCTATAGATAAAACGCATATTACAACTTATTCATTTATATTTTTGATATAAAAAACATGTTTGGGTCAGAAAAGCAAAAAACGAGTTATTGAAAACTTTGGCGCCCTCTACTGTTTGGATTTATTATTATAGAATAGCGACCCAATGGGATAAATTTTAAAAAATATTATTGACTACAACTTTTGTATGAAACATTTCCTTCTCCGACACATAATTTTCATAATAAAATTCAATTTAAAAAAAAATATAACAGTGCCAAGAGGGGATTTCGAAAATTTGGTTTTAAACTTTTTTTTATGGTCACTTAATGATTACGAAAAAAAAATTTTTATTGTACTAAAAGATTTTGCACAATATACAAGTAAGTTTATCAAATAAAAAATTAAAAAAATAATAATAGTCAAATGTTGAAGTTACAGTTTTTTTTTAATAAGATACACCTTACGAGATAAATATTAATTTTATTAGTGATATCGGTTTAATGTTAAAAAAAAAAATAAAAACAAATTATTATACAAGTGATACTGACAGTAAATGTTGGATAAAAAAAATATTTAAGCGAGTTTTGTGATATTTTTGGGAATTGACAACGTGTTTAGGTAAAAGTTCAATATCGAGAGGTTTCTCAGAGTAGATCTAGTAAATTATACATTTAAAATTATTTTCCAAACGTTTTTTTCGAAGTTATCAAAGATTTACAAAGAACATATATTGTCACGCTTAACGGTTAGGGGGTGGTAATTATTCTTTTTAATGTAATTAGGGGTCCTCGCTTGGCTTGAGAGGTAAAAATAGATAATCACCCACTTCCGCTAAGCGCGCTCTAGCCGATGTTAATCTCAAAAGGCTCAGATTAACCTCTTAGTTTAAAAGGAATCTGCGCCACTTAAGATGAACCTCAGGTGACTTAAATTACCGTATAGAGAACTAAACTAGTTATAATAGAAACACCATGTATAAAAAATCAACAAACACTTTATTAAATATCGTAATTAAAAGACGCAAAAGATATAATAAAGAATCGATATAATAATATTAAAATTTGGGGTCCTTACCTCATTGTCACGGAGCAGTCACAATTTTTATTTTTTACTTTATTTTATTTTCTGAAATATTTATAAGTATTTATTTTATGCTTTATATTTTATTAACCACAATTAATTTTTTTTTGCGATCGATGACGACCACCCTTTTTGCCGTCTCGCAAAACTCTCCATGACCCCCTAAAATAAACCGACTAGGTTCGATTTCGCAAGACTTCCAAAATCGTCGAGTCAGCACAAAGTTCATTAGTTTTTAACTTAATTGTTATGAAACTAGGAAATGCATTCTCTACGATTTAAAAGTATTTCGAAATCGACCTACTATTCAGAAAAAATTTAACATACAGGATGTTAAATTATTTACTGAGCCGAATGAAAATAAATTAATTACATTTAAGGAATAATTGTGACATGCCTCCCCTCCAAGAAAACCAGACCCCGGTTTTAAAAGTGACAAATATGTTGTCATACAAATGTGTAAAAGAAAAGGGTATATACAATACATACAAAAGAAATATATAAAAAAAAAGAAATTATTTAAAAATGAATAGGTAAATATATGAATTGTCTAGTTGAATAGAAAAAAATATTCACAAATTCAAAAAAAATAAATTACTACACAAGTCTTTTTATTCTTACGCTCACTCACACACTTGTTTTTTCGTAAAATCCATCTCTCAATTAATGTTTGACCGATTTGCACACTATTGGACACTGAAGGTAAGTCCGTCCCTGGCACATCTCAATTCTGTTTCGGTGTTCCCTTCTCGGTACTGACAGATGAGATGAACAGAATTCTTCTTTTTTCTTATTGGCTCGGCCTGAACCGCTTAAGTATTTTATCGTCCCGAAGAGAGTTGTCCAAAAATAATTTAATTTCCCATGAATATCCTTGGAAATCAAATAAATGTGACATCCCAGGTCCTCTCGGTATGCTCCATTTGATTGTGTTTCTATTCAGTTGGGATGGAAGAAGTTTTAGGATGGCTGCACGGTACTGCTAAGAATAAAATCCAAACATAGGTAAATTGTTAACCTTTGAGATTATTGTTTCTAAGATGAAAAATCTCACTGAAAATGGTGCTATTAAAAAAAATGATAAATCGTGAAGGGTATGGAGGAAAGCCACCGGACTCTGCGGTTGTAAGAGTTGATTACAACGCCTATATGGAGTATTATGCAGAACCTTTTGACTTATGTTAGAGGAAGACCTTTTCCGATGAGTGTGAATTGTAGGGAGTACTACCTAGGAGGGCTAGATATAACAATTGAGAGTATGAAACTAAAAAAAAAATCACAGTTTATCATACGACCGATGTACGCAATTCAGAGTATGAAACTAAAAGAAAAATCACAGTTTAACATACGACCGATGTACGCCTAAAGCAATTCAGAGTATGAAACTAAAAAAAAGTTTAACATACGACCGATGTACGCCTAAAGCAATTCAGAGTATGAAACTAAAAGAAAATTCACAGTTTAACATACGACCGATGTACGCCTATGTTAACTTGGCTCCAAATACTTTAATTAAATTAGCAATAAAATTAATAACATGAAAAAAAAGAATGGGAACAACGCCTTTTTTCTGTTTGGCGGCCGTCTCGAATTTGACGTTTTGCCGTCGGAAACTGTTAGTAAAGAAGATAGAAACAAAAAAAATAGAGAATAGAACCAAAAGATAGAGAATGGGAACAAAGCCCTTCTCTTATTTTACGGCCGTCTCGATTTTGACGTTTTGCCGTCGGAAGTTATTTAGGTTAATAAATAAATAGCAATAAAATTTAATAACATGGAAAAAAAATGGGAACAACCCCTTTTTTTCTGTTTCGCGGCCGTCTCGAATTTGACGTTTTGCCGTCGGAAACTGTTAGAATCTTAGGAGAAAAGACGTTTTGAGTGAGACTTGTGCTACTGGGTATGTACAGACTTGAGCGGATCTCAGCGATACTGCAATTATTCTTTCTGTCTTGTTTAGTTTGCCCTGTATCTTTATGAGAAGAAAAAAATCAACTAAAAAAAAAAGGTCTTGTCTGTCACCAGATGTAATAACTGGTTTGTCACCAGCGTGTAGTACCCGCTGATTATCTTAATTTGGGGGCATTAGTTCTTTTAACTGCTTATTGACTGAACTATACTTTAACCCTGCATTGGGTTTAAATAGAAATTACATAAAACTGAAAAGGGTACTTACTTATAGGTCTAACTTAGATGTCTATTAAGTCTAGTTGAGCGGTTTGGGCACTATAGTTTTCTACCAAATTAAATCTCCTAATAGGGCGTGATTCGTCACGGCTTAAATGCGTGAACCTTTTTTTTTTGTTAGTTGATGTTTTCTTTTTCTCGGATACTAAGTGATTTTTCGTCTAATAACTTTCACTGGGGCGTATGGGGGTTAAAATAAAATCCGTTGGTAAATTAAACAAATATAATGAGTAAAATTGAAATTTAGAAAGATTGACGTAACAAAATAAGATAAAATCGATAAATAAAATAAAAGGAACTTAGACAGAGTTCCTAGCAGAAAAGTTAAGCAAAGTTTATGACGATGGACTCGATTGTAAGGTATTAACGTTATCTAAATAACAAATCGTTTATCCCTTCATAAAATGGAATGTACGATGTTGAAATGAAAATTTAAAGAACTGATACAAGCAGGTGATATACCATTAAAATCTAAAATAATTTCACCATTGTCACAAACTTTAGAGGCTATTCAATTCGACATAAAATACGTCATAACTCCAGTGAATGTCTATTTTTCTAGTATAAAAACATTGACACCAATAAACTAAAACTATCTGTAATTTTTTTCATTACAGAAAAGGAGGGAGTACTATAATCGCTCAAACAATTTTTATCGAGCTACAAGTTGATACCATATAACTCAAAAGATAAAGTTAGTTGTTGTCTCAATGGACTTACCGCTGTCGTCTTAAGGGTTGACTGTAAATCCCCACCTGTATATAGGTGGTCGCTCTGGATTCGCCTGTTAGGTCACACTATTAACCAACGTGCGAAATTACACAAAAACCGTTCGCGCCGCGAATTTATCTTTTAATAATCATAAAAAAACCAAAAAACTAAAATTATTTATATGACCCCGTGAGACCTCGAGTCGTTCCCCGTGAAAAACTAACCCACGACTCCCTAAAATAAACCGATTAGGTTCGATTTCGCAAGACTTCCAAAATCGTCGAGTCAGCACAAAGTTCATTAGTTTTTAACTTAATTGTTATGAAACTAGGAAATGCATTCTCTACGATTTAAAAGTATTTCGAAATCGACCTACTATTCAGAAATAATTTAACATACAGGATGTTAAATTATTTACTGAGCCGAATGAAAATAAATTAATTCCATTTAAGGAATAATTGTGACAATATGAAGATTATTGTGAAATACAGTAAAAACGCGAAAAATTAAAAACTGCAAAAATCATACAAATTTTAAAAACATTTTAATTTTATCTTCTTTCACTTCTCTTTTTTTTTTTTAATTTTAAAATGATATATTATTTATTTCGGTAATTTTAATATTTCTAACGACATATCACACTATTGAGCTTCAGGTAGTCATGAAATTTTTGGGTCTTTCCACATTAAAATTTTCCCAACAAAATCGTTCTTTCTTTCTATTTACAGTTCAGGAAACAGTTAACTTCATGATGGACAGTGAATTACATTTACGCATATTTTTTTGTGATTTTTCTCAATTTCATTCTTGGGGTTTTCTTCGGTTTTTTTGTGTAAGCATTGTTTTTAAATTATCGTTTACGTCAATATTTTCTTTGAACTACCCTATTTCCACAAACTTTATTAGTATTAGAAGTATGTGGCGTTCACCTTCTACTGATAGGTTCTTAGTTTGTCTTTCCTCATTCAGAAGTGGAGCTATAATGCTATTAACATCAATGTAGAGAGGGTGTATAACATTTCATTACCTTTTAAATATTTTATTTTTCAATTACGAAATATTCGATACAATTTTGCATCAAATCACCCTGTGTTTTAAAATATAATTTAATTCTGCATCGAATCATGCTGTATTTTAAAATCGTGACCTAGAATGTGCCGGATCATTTACCGGTCACTGGTAAGGATTCCGTGAGGAAAACAGATATCCTACGAAACAACGGATTTTCTAATATTCAACAAAAACACAACCGAGTCATGTAATCCTGATTTTTCCATTGATGGAATTTCTTAAGAACCACTAACATT